AGCCAGACTTGTTGGACACAGGAGCCTGGGTGTCAGAGCTCCCTGCTCCCCGCTTCAAGCCATTCCTTGCCCTGCGTTTTGACAGCCCTTTCCCCTCCTCCCCTCTAGGAGGCCTCAGAAGGTGGTGATGCAGTTCTTGACTCCACTTTACGGCACAGGAAGGGGCTGTGTGTGTGTGTCAGTGCACACAAGTGCACACAAGTATACATGGCATTGCCCTAGGCAGGGGCTGTCGCTTTTTGCCAGCCCCTGGGGACCAGAGACAAATCCTTTGATATGTAAGCACCAGAGGAGTGGCTGGGATTACCGAAGGAACCTGTACACAACATTTCCGGCTTTAATTGTGCAATTGAAGTGTAATTTGCATTCATTTGCCATTTGGTGTTAAACTTCCTAAAATAAGAGAATTCAAAATGTGAAATGTGCAGCTTTGCCGGCTGCTGGCTGCGCTCGCCAGCGGGGCGGGAGGCAGCGGTCCAGAGGTGGCTGATGCACATTCTCTTTGCGGGGAGCAGAGGGGTCGGAAGCCTTTAGCGTGGGCACCACTGTCGCTGCCCAGCGTGGCGAGCCAGCCTTTCTCGTGTGCTTGCTTTCTGTGCTTTGCACACAAAGTGTCTCCTATAATCCTCACAATAGCCTTGCGAGGTTAAGTCTCCATTTGCACATAGGGGGAAACTGAGGCCTTCCATCATCTGCAAAACCAAGTTCAGACTTCTTTATCTGGGTCATAAGCTCTACCGCTTTGCCCTGATTTCTGGCCATTTCCCTCAACCCCCAGCCCTGTTCCCTGTTCTGGAGCTAGAGCAAAAGTCTAGTTTGCTGGAACGTGCCAAGTCGTTCGGCCTCCACAAGTAGCTCCTGCTAGATAAGAGAAAGCTCTGAATGCCTCTCTTTCCCGCCTCAGTTCTCTCGGCCAACTCAGGCTTGAGTACTTGCAAAGCCAGCCTCTGGGCCCTCCTCCGCCGCAATCGCCGACTCCCTGGCACCTGTGCTGTATTGGCAGTAACTGTTTATTGCCTGTCTCCCCCAGGAGTCTGTGACCTCATCAGAGGCAGAGCCTGTCCTGTCCTGCCTTGCCTGTCCTGCAGCCAACACAGGACCTGCCCATGGAGGCCACCCGGTAGATGTCTGGGGGAAGAGGTTGTGTGCATGAAAGTAACTGTTCAAGGGTCAGCAGCTGAGTGACAGGACGTCAGGACCATCTGGCCACAAAGCCCTGTGGAGCATTATTAATAAGCTCAGGTTGGGGGACCAGAGCTGTGTTTGAGATGCATTTCCTGTCACCTTGAGCCAGTGTCCAAGCCTCAGATTCCTCATCTGTAGTGTGTAAGGTGGGTCTCATGACAAGGGTGAGCATTAATTGTGGCCAGGAGTGAGGACAGCCTGCTCCGCTGGCCTCCCCGTCCCTTGCAACCTGGCCCTGGGGCTACTCAGAGGGCAGGGATGGTGCTGCACAGGCCAGGACCCCTCGGTGTGCTGGTAGTTCTTCCTGAGCACCTTTCCCAACGGGGAAATTAGCTCCCACCGGACACTTAGCACGGGTCCATGTGTCAGTATGTCCAGCATGTGGCCTGGTGCCAGCCACCTTGCTGACTCACGCTGTTCTTTGCTGCACGTGACCGCCCATTTGCTGCCAGAGGCAAGCTCCTCTGTCCCCTGCACAGACAGCCCTGAGTGGAGCAGGCAGCACGGGGAAGCAGTCACAGATGCGAAGCCTTGCGAAGAGACATGGTGGCCTCCGTGAGACTGTCACCTCCCTAGGTCTGAGTCAGATGCAAGAACCTCGGGGTCCGGAGTCCCCACTGCCTCGGGCCGTGAGCAGACCAAGACTACTAGACTCCAGGAGTTTTAGGGGCCTGACTTGGGGTTTGGGCTTTTTATTTTAAATACAAGTCACATACCATAAAATTGATCCATTTAAAGCATACAATATAGTAGTTTTTAGTATTTTCACAAGGTGGTGCAACCATCACTACTTTCTAATATTTTTTTTTTTTTTTTGAGACCAAGTCTCTCTTTGTCACCAGGGCCAGAATGCCATGGTGTCATCATAGCTCACTGCAACTTCAAACTTCTGGGCTCAAGGCATCCTCCTGCCTCAACCTCCCAAGTAGCTGGGACTATAGGCATGCACCACCACGCCTGACTAATTTTTCGATTTTTGATAGAGACAGCATCTTGCTCTTGCTATGGTCTCGAACTCCTGACCTCAAGCAGTCCTCCCACCTTAGCCTCCCAGAGTGCTAGAATTACAGGCATGAGCCACTGCCCCCAGCCCTGAGCATTTTCATTACCCCAAAAAGAAGCCCTGTACCCATTTTCAGTCACTCCCTACCCACTCTCTGTCCAGCTGGCAACCACTAATCTACTTCCGCCTCCATGGATTTGCCTATTCTAGACATTTCATACAAATGGAACCATCATACACTGCATGGTCTTTCGTGGCCGGCTACTTTCACTGGGCAGAGGTTGTCAGGGTTCACCCATGTTGTGGCATGGATCAGTGCTTCGTGTCTCTCTATACGGCACATTGTTTATCCATCTCTCAGTTGATAGATCTTTGGGTTGTTTCCACTTTCTGGCTATTTTATTAGGGATGACTCTGCGTGGACATTTATAAATAAGTTTTATGTGCACATATGTTTGCAGTTCTCTTGGTAACTACCTAGGAGTGGGAGTATACCTATGGCAACTCTGTTTGACTTTTTGAGGAACTGTTAGCTTGAGTCTTGCCTCACTGTTTGATTTGGGGTGAGTCATTCTCCCACCCTCCCCCAACCCCTATTCCCTGGTCTCATTTCCCCTCTGTCTGTGACCTTTGGAAAGTGACTTGCTGGGACAGTTGAGCACCGAGGGGCATAACCTCGGCACTCCCCCAAAGGCAGGTGCTCAGGGGCTGCTGCCACTTGCAGCGACGCTGCTGTCCCCTCTGCGTTCCGTCCCACTCTTCTCTCTGTCTCGGTTCCATCGCCGCAGCAAAGAGCCCGTGGAGGCTCCTCCCTCAGTGGGAGCAGAGGGCTGGGCCCTCCCTGCTGGTCCTAGACCTCCCCAGGCCCCCTGGATCTTGGCCTGGCTGCAGGGGCAGCCCTGGCTCCTGCCATCTGACCAGGCTTAGTAGCTACATTTTTCAGCCAGTGTGGATCCATTTTGCACAGGCCCAGCAAGTGAAAATTCTCTGAGAGGCTGGGTGCATGGCTCATACCTGTAACACCAATGCTTTGGAGGCCGAGGCAGGAGGGTCACTTAAGACCAGGAGTTCTAGGTTGCAGTGACAAGCTGTGCTCGTACCACTGCACTCCAGCCTGGGCGACAGAGTGAGACCTACTCTCTATAAAAAGATAAAAAGAAAGTTTGGAGAGCTGCTGAAATGCATATACTGTTATAGGCAAGGGCAGCCCACAGTTCAACCCCTCGAGATGGCCATGGATGCTTGTGAGAGTTCACTATTCTGCTGCCTGCTGGGCCATGGGCAGGGGTGGCTCCGACTCACCTCTGCAGCCCCTGGCACAGACCAGGGCTCAGGTGTCAGGAGAACATCCCAGTGCCCGGGAGCGGGAGGAATGGAGGGAAGGATGCTATCAGTGGGAGGTGGCATCTGTGTGGGCGAGTGCCCGGGTGAGGCCAGGCTATGGTGGTGCGAATGGGCTAGCCAGCAAAGGGGGTCTCAGCCTGCCGGGCCAGGGTTGGCCAAGAGGATGCCAGGGTGACGACACGGCGGTGCAGGGGGAGGCGCTGGTACGTCGTCTGCAGTGGCAGGAACCACTTTCAAGCTTTAGAGGAGATAGGCCTTGTCTTTTCTTTCTTTCTTTTTTTTTTTATCTTGAGATTAATTTTCCCTTTTAAAGTGCACAGTTCACTGGTTTTTAGTATATTTATCAGGTTTTGCAATCATCCCACAATACCCCACCATAGCCTTGACCTGACCTTGCGTTCACCGTGTCCAGCGCAGCTGCCCCGCCCACCAGGCGCTGCATCACTTCCACCAGGCCAGGGCTGAGGCCCCACCTGCCAGGGTTATTCTTGCCCTGGGCTCAGGGTGGCCCAGAAAGAGGCACAGTCATCCACGCATCAGGTATCTCCTGGGGCAGGGACAGCCCTGGGGAGACACCTGTGGATAGAACAGGCACAGTCTCTCTTCAGATCAGGACAGGAGTGGGGAGCAGGAAGGGGCGGGCAGACACCGCAGTGTGGAGCACAGTGAGCAGGAGGCTCCTGGGGCAGATGACTCACATACGCACACATTCACCAAGTCCCCTCCCAGCAGGGCACGTCCCTGGTCCCTCTCCCCATTCCCACCACAGCAGAACAATGGGCTCTCAGTGCCAGGCCAAGACAGGTGTGATACAAGGGTGTGGGGGTTCTCTGGATTGTAGGGGCAGCCCCAGGGCCTTGTAACAGCGCTGACCTGCAGTAAGCTCCGCTCTGTCCCCACGCTCTGCCTGTTCCTTGGAAGATCTCAGCAAGCAGGTGGTCAGGCTGGTGAGCCTCACCCTCCCCAAACCTGCATAGGAACACTTTGGAGACAGTGAGGACCAAACGATGTGTCTGAACCTTAGGAAGTGCTTGATCTTAGAGCCCAGCATGCACCCTGAACGTGGAGGGTGCTTTGGGGTCTACAGCGGCCTGACGTCACCTCTGCAGAAGAATCTGCTCTGTGGACCCGTGGGGAGTGGGGCCGTGGCTGCTGTGGGATTCTCTTTTAGCCAGGGGCCCTGCAACGCATGCTGCAGTGACACCTCACCTGAGTCCTGTGTCTCCTGGGGACCAGGAAGGGGGCCATGGGAAAGCTGACTTGCCAGGCCTCAGATTCCAGCTTCCTTCCTCCTGAGGCCCCCGTCCGGGACCATCTGTGTTCTCTTGAACTCGTGTCTCCTGTTACTTTCTGAGCACGCCTACAGCCGTGGTCTTGGTGGCTCTCACCAGCCTGCTGACCTCACCTCTCGCCAGGTCACCGCAGCTCACAGCGGAGGCTCGTCGTCATGCTCCACTTGTCTCCCCAGGTTGTCCTGAAGGATCTGGAGGTGTTGGCAGAAATTGCTTCCTCCCCTGCAGGCCAGACGGATGACACAGACCCCCTTGATGGCCCTGACCTCCGGCTCAGCCACTCAGAGCTCCAGGTGCCCACCCCCGGCAGAGCCGGCCCGCCCATCACTCCCGGTAAGTACCCCTGGGGGCTTCCGGCCCCAGTGATCCTGGACATGCTCATGCTGGGTCTCGTGCTGGGCCAGGGCGCTCCTTTGAATGTTGTCATGAGCCCCAGAGTTCTCTGGGTGTGAAGGGTTCGTGGGTTTCCTACCAGTGACCTGCCACCCAAGAGGCCCCAGTGGCAGGTAGCCCTCATACCCAGCAGCCCTTTCTCCCCATCCTCCTGCACCTTGGATGCTTGCGAGCCACTGGCTAAATGCAAATGCGTCTGAGTCTGCTGGGCAGCGTCTCCCCAGTCAGGAGTCAAGGGCCTGGTCTTAGGCCTCACAGGTGGAAGACCAGGCAGCCATTTCCTTCCTCACCAAGAAGCTAAAAATAGCCCTCAAGACGGCAGGCAGCCCCAGCAGGAGACGGGATAATTCAAACAGGCTGTTTCCGGCAAGCCTCGGAAGCAAAGGTGGCCGTGGTGTTGTAGTGCTCAGCCCTGGGTTCCTTCCTGACAGTGGGCCGGCTCTCCTCCGGGGCCCAGGCTAGCGCCACTTCCTCCAGCGACACGATTCTGGAAAATGCCCAGGGCCGCAAGTGGTGGGAAAGTGCCCAGCGATTCCTGGGCGTCTCCTTGGCCCAAAGACCAGGCCCAGCACCCAGAGGTACAGGGGGTCACAGGAGCCCTGCAGGCCTGACCGTGCCCTAGGGCATGCCAGGTCTAGTCGCAGAGACCCCTATATTAAAGATACCTCCTAATGACAGTGAAAGTCAAGGGCTCCCCAGCCCTTGCGGCGGGTGTCATGTAGGAGCCTGGGCCTCAGGCCACCTCCCCACGTGTGCCTTGCTGAGGCACGGAAGGAGTGAGGGGCGCCACGGCCACCCAGCTTCCTCTGTCTTGTTTTGCCAGGATGCCGCAGTTCTAGGCAGCCAGTGGCCATGGTCAGGGAAGCGGCTCTCACGCCCTGACCCCAGGACCCATGCTGGGGCTCCCACCTGTCCCCTGGCACAGGAGTCCCTTCTCCATCCTGCATCCCCAAGTCAGCACATGGCGGGCTGTGACGAGTTGGGGAGAGGAACAGAGGCTTATCCTTAGGAAGGGAGCTCAGGTTTGGGGAGCCGTGAGAACTGGCCAGAAGAAGGGCCGCAGCCGAGAGGACGCGTCCTGCAGGGGGTGGCCAGGCGGAGAGCCCTGGTCCCCACCCTGGGCAGCAGATGCCACTGCACCCTCTCTCATCCTCAGGGGTAGCCCAGAAAGCTGTTTAGGTAGCACAACGTTGCGGCAGGGCTAGGCCACCTGGATCTCCCCGACCCTCTTCCATCTGTCCTTCATCTGTAGGGGTTTTTCTCTTCTGCCCTGACACAGACACATGATGACTATGACATAGGTTTCCACTCATGGGGGGATGGGCCAGGAAACTGCCGTGAGCAGCCTGGACTGGAGAAAGTTGGGTATGTGGCCTCAAGGGATGGGGCCTGGCCTGGGGGTCCCTAGAAGGCCAATAGCATCTCGCCCTTTCCCCCGCTTGGGAGTGAGGAACGGGGGACCCTACGCAGAGTGCTCCAAATCCCAGCTCCTGGCCCTGCTGAGATGCGCAGGCCACAAACAAGGCTTAGGCAGTGGCAACTCCTGTCCCAGCTCACCGAGGCTGTCATACTGGCTTGTGTCAGCCAGGAACTCACTGGGAATTCATAGAAAAACAACAAGTTATGCCAGATGGGATGAAACTCCATCCTGGAAAGAACACCAAGGAAGCGCCTGCAGCCAATAACACTTCTTGCTTTAAGAATCCACGCCATCATAGCCAAGGAACCATGTGGGGAGAAAAATAAGAAGCAGCAGCTACAACTCCGGGCCACGAGCTCTCAACCTGGGCCCACGTGTGGCCTTCAAGGAGTGCGGGAACCTCCAGGCAGAACCCACGTGCTCACACGTTAGTGTCCACAGCTGGCATCAGAGCTTACAGACACGTACGTGGTTTTTAAAAGGTCAGCTCAAACCAGTAACTGGAGATGGCGGAAGCCCGAGCGTGCCTTGTCCCTGCCGCCTCTGCTGCCTGGAGGGCACACACCAGGCACCAGGAATGTGTGGGGTGGCATTGAGGGCAGAAGACATGCAGGAAGTGCACACTCGTGCCTCTGCTAGCTGCCATTTCCCACGTTGCTTCTCGGGCATGCGAAGGGATCGTTCTGTCCGTTTCCATCTGGCCGTGCACGCGGACAAGTGCACAAGGCCACATGATCCGTGCAGGCTGCAGTGCTGTGTCCCTTTAAAGCAGAGCGCCCTAAAGATGTGAAGGGACTTTCTAGAAGGCAGAGCAGGCAGGAGCCTAGGAAAGACGAAGTTGGTGGCATCTGTTGGGAACCGATGGTGCAGCCTGCGAGTTGGGTGTGGAAACTACAATGGTACAGATCGCACGTAGCGCTGGGGAAGCCAGACCCGTCACACGCCTGGGTGGCTGCTGTGTTGGCCTAAATGCTCCTACTTCGGTGGTCCCCAGGGCCCCTCGAGGCAGGGCTGCCCACATGGGATTTTCTTCCTGCCTGGCCTACCGTAAACATCCCTCTCCTGCGCTCCTCCCGCCCCGCCTCCCCCGCAGAGCACCAGGAGTGGGGAGTCAGGAGAGAGAGGCAGACAGGTGGCTCTAAGGGAAGCTGGTGGAGGGTCAGCTCATTTTCCTATTTCCCACCCCTTGGTCTCCTGTAGCTCAGCCTCTTTTGTACCCCGTCTGTACGTGGGGGAGTCTGCAGGGCCTGCCAGGCTCTGGGGACAAGAGGTGATGAGCGGGCCTGCAGGATCAGTCCCTTGTTAGAGATGTGCCTGTGCTCCCAGGGCCTGGGCATCTCCACTGCCAGGCAAGGAGCGGCCGGGCCTGGGGAGGCCCAGCCAGCCTCCATGGCCGAGCACAGCGGCATGTGGCAGCCTGGGGCTGAGGGTGGGCCCCTGAAACCCAGTCTTCCCTGGCCCTCCCTGCCGCCACGGCGCCCATCGTTGCTGGGATGAAAGCTCCTCGTGTCAGTATACCCTACAGGGCGCACCGGGCCAAGGTGTTTTTATCCCTACCTCTAAAATGAAACGTTCTGATTCAATTTCATTCCTTATAGCCTAGGTCAGCGTGGCCAAACAGCAGCAGCATCTTAATGTTGCCTCATGGAAACAAGTTCTAGAAGAAGCCCAGAAATCCATCTCTGGGGCACTTTCCCCAGTAAGCACAGTAACGATAGTAATGATAATGGCTACAACGTTGGCTTGTTAGGACCAAGCCTTGTCCTAAGCCCTTGCCCGGGCTGTCTCCTGGCGATTGGCCCCTGGCCTCTCCGCAGCAGCTCTGAGAGGTGAGCACTGCTGTCATTCCCACCTCAGCTGGGCCAGAAGCCCGGCCTGAGAGCCTGCACTCCTCACCCCACGCTCGGGAGTCCCACCCCTGCCCAGCACTGGAAGCTTACACCGCCTGGGGGAGAAGCAGTGGGTGCCAGGCCATGGCCCCAACCTGGCAGTTCTTGGCAGCAAGTCTGACCGCCACCCCTACCCCGCCAGAACCACTGCCCAGGAAGGCGTCCTCTGGTGCCCTCACTGCCAGGCCTTCCCTTGTCGCCAGATGGAAAGCCAGCCCCGGCCACCCAGGCCTCCCTACTGACGGGTCCCTTCCTCCTCACCCTCGCTGTGCTGTCCTTGGCCCCAGCCCTTGCCCTGCAGCAGCAGCGGCTCTTCCTGGTGGTGGCAGACTGCTCTGTGGCCACTCTCGCCTGCCACGTCAGCTGGAAGTCCCTGCAGGCCCTGCTGTGGCCCATCAGCTTATCTCTGACTCCAAGCTGAGCAGCTGGAAAGCCTGGCTGTGGGTGCTGGCCCCAGGTGCTCCCGTCCTGCCGACCTCAGCTGGTCTGGCCCATGGATAAGTGATGGCCTTTTGGATCGGGTCCCAAGATGATGCCATTAGTGCAGCATCTTTTGTCCAGGAAGCCATGAGGTTTGCACCCCCTCCGATTCCTTAGACTCTAAGTCCCCAAGACCCTGCCTGGCCTCCCATTCCCTGGCCCCAGTGAGAAGCTGTCCTTCCCCCGCCCTATGCTCCTCGGTTCCATACCAGCCTCCCCATCATGCTGTGCCTCTGTGAAGCACTTCCCGTGCTGGGCCAAGTGTATTGCTCTCTGGCCCTGCCGTGGCTCACGGGAGAGGAGCCTGCCTCAGAGAAGCCGCCCTGCCTCCACTGCCCTGCTAGTCAGTGACAGGGCCTGGATCCGATGGGTCTCTTGGACTCCCCAGGTGCCCTACGTAGCCTGTGGCCTTCCCCTCCACATCCTCAGGGCAGCGGATCCTGATACCACTCGATGGGGGCTGTCCAGGCACACGGGCCCTGACCCAGCAGGACAGGACAGGAAGGCAGGGCATGGCACGGGGACCGTGCCGAGCCTGCGCTGGGTGGCTGATGTTTTCACATCTGCTTCTGCTGAACTGTAACTCGCGTAGCGTATTGAGGCCAGAGCTATTTTTATCCTGACATGTGAGGTTCCTCCACGTCACAGCCACAAAATTCAATCCAAAACATCCCAGGGAAGGTTGTTTGTGAGATGTTCTGCAGATTCTCATGTCGCCACATCAGGTTTCACTTAGGAACATCTGCAGGGCTGGCTCCCCAGCCGCCCGCCCCGCCGGCCTGGCTCTGCACGCAGGGCGCCCCCGGCATCTGTCTGGCCTGGCCAGCGGCCGGTCACGTGAACTTCCTGCCAGGGATGGCGGGCTGCTCACTCATCCCGACCGGGAATGCCAGGCAGGGCGGCTCTTGCTGAGGGACAGCATTCTCCCTCGGCCTCTGCGGGATTAGAGGATGGAAATCCCGCTCTCCTGGGCCCCTCAGGGGGAGGCCCTCTCCTGGGACACGTGGCCAGGCTGTTCCAGCCCAAGCAGCTGGCCCAGTCGCGCAGGCCCGGGCGCTGTATGCTGTCAGAAACGCCACCCGAGTAAAGCCTGTCGCAAACCTTCAGAGCACAGTGTTGGAGGGCGTGCCCTGAGCTGGCCGCTGAGCCCCTGTCCCAGCTCTGCCCCTTCCTGGCGCACGTGCAGCCCTGGGCCCAGGCTTTTGTGACCGAGAAGGGGAGCTGGGAGCTGGGGGCGGATGGAGACGCTGTGAGTCTTCCCGGGGGAGGAGCAGGCAGCAGTGAGGTGGAAATCAGTGCTGTCTCGAGGCCCGTCGTGCCTGTAGTCACACTCCTGGGGCAAGTTTGTCCTCTCTCCACCCCATCACCTCCCGAGCCTGCAGCCCTGCCTGAGAACATCTTTTCTCAGGTTCCAGCTCAAGCCAGCCAGGCCTGAAGGGCTGCTTAGGTCAGAATAATGGCTGGTGGGCAAAGAGGGAGGCACTTGCCGCACTCCCAGCCCTGTCCTGGGGAGGCACCTGCTCTCGGGCAGGGGTCTTTCTGGCAGGTGGGATCCCAGAAGGCAAAAGGTCCCACCCTTGACAGCTGCAGGCCCAAGCAGGCCCTGGGCAGCTCCCCTGAAGCTCCCACACACCCTGGCCTCCTGTCACCTGAGCCTCAGGAAAGGCACCCAGCCCTCAGTTGGGGAACACCCAGCTTCTTGCTGTTTTCGTCTTTAAACAGTGGGCGCAGTGCAAGGACAGGGTAACTCACCTGCTGTGGCTTCTCCCAGGAGCGACTCCGCCCTCCTCCTCCCTTCTGCTAATGGCCTCAGCTCCGGGGACCACTATGCAGCCTGGATATTGAGACTCTATTTTGGGGGCAGAGTGGGGGCTGTGGCTAAGGAGACCGGACACGTGTCCAGAGCACCCAAGCCTTCTCTTCTGCTGTCTTTGGCCAGTCTGCCAGCTGCACGGTGAGCTGATCTTCCTCCCCAGATGTTGGGGCGGGGGTCACAGGTGACACCCTTTCCTCCTCACAGCATCCCAACAGAGCACTGTGAATCTGTCCCAGATCCAGAGTCTCTCCGATCCGACGTTCCCAGACTCAGAGAATGAGAACAGTCTGCGCCGTGCGGTGCTCTGAGATGTGGGACATTTGCTAATGAAAGGAGTCCCCGTTTATTGAGCACAGACTGTGGCAGGCCCCAGGCCTAGTACATTATGTATTTTGTGTCATTTAACAGGGGCTCCCACTGCCCCTGTGAGGCTGGAACAGCGGCACCGACCTCTTCCCGGTGCCTGCCTAAGGCACCAGCCCTTAAGAATGGGGACTCTGGCCCAGATGGGGAGGGTTTCTTTGCGGTTACTTCTCGCATTGGTCCTTTTGTTCTTTGGAATACTTGGGAGCCTAACTGGAAACGGGGTGGGCTGGGAGTGCACATATAGGCAAGACCGTGACAGGGACACCAGGAGCCTTTACGAAGAGGCCTGGGCACCTCCAGTGTGGGGGGCCTGTGCCTCCAGCCAGGCCCCCAGGGGGGCCCCAGAATTCATCTCCTGAGGGTGGTGCAGTGAGGCAGGGCTGCCTCAGCAGCTGTGTGTGCAGCCGGCTCTTCAGAGACCAGCCCCAGCTGGGCCCGGGTAACTCGATCTATAAGAATGTGACACTTGATTCTGCAAACAGCCCCTCTGGGCCAGGGAGCAGAGACTGTTTGCCATCCCAGAGTCACTGAGGACCTCCCAGGCCTGGCTGTCTGGGCGGGGACCCAGGACGACAATGCAGTCCAAACAGCGAGAAGTTCAAGGGCTCACCCCTTGCAAGGTTCTCGAGAGCTGTCTCGGATTGAGGCCAGGACAGTTTGGGGGGGTGGCTCCTGGTGAGGAATCCTCGCAGAGAAATTCTCAGCTGGGAAAAACAAAACAGAAAAACACCTTTTCTAGTGCCTAGCCACTTCCCTGTAAGGACCACAGAGGATGTAAGAAAATCCAAGTTCAGCAAGAAACAACTCCTCCCAGGAGGGTTTTACTCTACTTTCTGGCCACGGGCATCTCATAAAGTCATTCCATAGAGGCTCCTCTGTAAGACTTGTATGTGATACTCTGGGAGGTTCCACATATTCTTGTTTTGTGCTTTGGGCTGATGCTTCTGCCGTTATGACCTCCCCCAGCCGAGTTGGATTCTTAGTAATTGAGCATCCTGCCTGGCTTTGCTGGTGCCTGCCGTCTCCTCCGTGGTCCAGGGAGAAAGTCATGACTCCCACTGGGCTCCAACACCAGAGAAGGACTGGCCCTGAAAGTGGAGGCCCCAGATCCTTCTGTTGGCCCCTCTGCTAACTCAAGGAGGCCCCATGTCCTCCTTGAGTTTCCAGAGAGCTGTGGCCGAGTACTTGCTCCATAGCAATTGGTGGCATTATTTTCTGTGTCCTCAGTCTTGGCTTGGCAGGACCATGGCTTTGGCCTTTATGCCATCTTCTGCCCTCCTGCCTAGCAAGGCTCTACCTCCTAAACTGGGACCCTCAACCCTGCCCAAACATCAGTGCCCAGGAGTTGATGAGAACATGGGCTCTGAAGACCAGTTGCCCACTCCCCTGCTCTGTGGCACTGGATCACCTACAACCCTACTCACATCTACAGCCCTACAACCTAACTCCCTGTGTATGTGATGGGATAGTAATGGTGCATCTTTTGCAAGGTTATTTTGAGAATTGCATTAGGTACTATGTGTGGGAGCTTTCGGTATGCTTAGCACACAGTAAGTGCTTTGCTCAATAGATAGTAGCTGTTAATTGGCTGTTAAGATGTCATGTTATACCGGGACAACTGGGTGTCTATCCACATGCAAAAGAATTTAGACCCCTTCCTCACATCATCTACAAAAAATTAACTGAAAATGGATCAGAAGCCAGACAGCCTATAGTCCCAGCCATTTCCAGAGGCTGAGGCAGGAAGATCACTTGAGCCCAGAAGTTGGAAGTTGCAGTAAGCTATGATGACACCACTGTACTCTAGCCCAGGCAACAACAGAGCAATACCCTGTCTCAAAAAAAAAAAGGATCAGAGACCTAAAGCATAAATCTTTATGACCTTGATTTAGGTAATAATTTCTTAGCTATTTAACACTAAAACTGCAAGCAACCAAACAAAAAATAGATACATCTAATCAAAATTAAAATTTTATGCTTCAAAGGACATCATCAAGAAAGTAAAAAGAGACAGCCCACAGAAGATATTTGCAAATCACATGTCTATTAACAGACTTGTATCCGATATATGAAAAGCTCCTACAAGTCAACAATAAAAAGACAAATAGCCCAATATTTAAATGGGCAAAGGATTTTAATAGACATTTCTCTGGAGAAGATATATGAATGGCCACTAAGCACACCATCATTAGTCAGTCAGGAAATGTCAAACCAAAACCACAGTGAGATACTACTTTCTATCAAGAGGGTGGCTGTAATCAAAAAGGTAGATAATAACAAGTGTTGGCAAGGATATGGGAAAATTGGAGCCCTCATACATCATTGGTGGAAATGTAAAATGGTGCAGCCACTGTGGAAAACAGTTTGCCAGTTTGTCAAAAGTTAGGATTACCATGTGACCCATCAGTTCTACATATATGCCTAAAAGAATCAGAAACAGGTTCAAACAGACATTTATAAATGAATGTTCGTAGCAGTATTATTCATAATAGCAAAAAGTAGAAGCACCCAGATGTCTACCAGCTGATGAATGGATAAACAAAACATGCTATGTTCCTATAATGGAATATTATTAAGCCATAAAAATAAATTAAAAACTGATACATACCATGACATGGATGAACCTTGAAAATACGCTAAGTAAAAGAAGCCACATACTATATGGTTCTAGTTATATGAAATGTCCAGAATGGGCAGATATCAATCCGTAGAGACAGAAAGTGGATTAGTGGCTGCCAGAGACTTGGGGAGAGAACAATGGGAGGGACTGCTAATGAGCATGGGGTTTCTTTTTGGTGGTGATGAAAATGTTCTAAAATTAATGATAATTGCTACACAACTTTGTGAATATTCTGAAAACCGCTGAATTATGCATTTTAAAAGGACAAACTTTTTGGTATGGGAAATATATCACAAAACTGTTGGTCTTTGTTTTTTAAAGATGCACTGTTAGTGCTCTGGGCAGAATGGGTGAGAGTTCCTGCCATCTCTGCCACCTCTGAGCCATGGAGGTGAGTGTATGTTAGAAGAGGCAGGGAGAATCCCAAGGGATACAACTCAGGGCCAAGCATTCCGGCAGCCTCCCTTTGTCCCCCGCAGTGCTAGGGCTTTATAGAGGGGTACATGTGCAGGGTGGGCTGGAAGGGACCGTGGTATCTGTACCCCAGTCAGAGACGTTTGTGTCCGGTTATAAAGCCACCTGGGGCCTTGAAAAGATGACTACCCTAAAAGAGCATCTTTGCCTAATGTTGAGGAAGAAAGAACATTTGATTCCAAAACGTTAGGTAAAGATCCAAAGTCTTTGTAACATTTTGTCAATATTTGCTGCTTTTAATCTAGTTGAATGTGTGCATAATTTATTTTTCTCCAGTAACGTTAAGAAAGGAGCTTGGCTTTTACCTGTCGTCGGTCTGCCGGCTGTGTCAACCATTGAGATTGTGTGCGCACCACACACACAGCCTCAATCTCTATGACTTCTTGTTGGTCCTTAACTGGCCCAAGTAGACCCCAAGTGTATTTCATTCATTGGATAATGAGTAGAAGTTTGTTTTAAAAAAAAAAAAAATGCACAGTCCCTAGTAGGGTCTTCCACGTAAGGAATGTTCACTGAGTGGTTTGGGCTTGGATGGAGGATGGACAGTGTTGACACGCAAACCCACACCTGCCTTTTTGGCATCTCCAATGGTCTGTATCCTATAGGGATCTCATCATCCTGTGCACACGTAATCAGAGTAAATCCTGGCTCTGTCCCTTTCTCTGCAGGTACCAAAGGCTTAGAATGTTCTCCTTCCACTCCCACCATGAACTCCTACTTTTATAAGTTCATGATCAACCTGCTCAAGAGGTTCAGCAGCGAACGGAAGCTCCTGGAGGTCAGAGGCCCCTTCATCATCAGGTCAGCCTCCGCGTGCCCTCTCCTCTGCCCCTCGTGGCCACACTTTCCGTGTTGGCGCCACACAAGGTGTCAGAACAGCCACCTTCCCTTTCCCTTCTCCCTCCTCCTCTTCCTGACCTTTGGTCTGTTCTTAAATGAAGAGGGTTCCCCCTTCCTACCGGGCGGCTGGTGCTACCAACATAAGGCAGGTCGGTGTTGACATTTTTCAGGAAAACTGAATTCAATTTTTGCTTGTCAAGGTACCTTTGCCTTGAGGTGGAACATCCTCTCGTTAAATGCCATTGTCAGTCCTTTAGAGAGGAAAAGAGGTGAGCCACATGGCACTTGACACAGGGCTACGCTGCAGGGTCCAGCCTCCAGCCCAGGGTTTGCCCAGGCTTGGTGGAGCCAGGTTCCTACGTCATATGAGCCTAACCTGGACAGTCCCAGGGCACAGTCAGAGTGGCTCGAGGGCCCTAGAACTGTCATCACCAGCAGCGTGGCGGGACTGACCCATTGCTTCCCGCTCAGCTCCAAGGAGCAGGCACTAGAAGAACAGCCCAGTTTCACCTTACAGCCCAGTAGAAGCTAAATTAGGGGTTCAAGTTCCTCCAGGCTCCCCACCAAAAGATGCCCTGGCCCCCCGACCAGTGAAATTGGACCCTCTGAGGTGCGAGGGTTATTAAAGTGGTCCATGTGCTTGGGAAGCAGACTAGAGTGACACAGTCTGGGGACCGAGGGGTTGCAGAGGCCCCAACCTGTACGATGGTTGAAGGTAAGAAAGAGGCTGGACCTCATTTTGCTGTAAACCAGGTTCAGTCTGTCGGCCGCGCTCAGGATCGGCAGCCTCACCCGGAGCTTGGCAGGGAGCCACTGAAGGGGCTTGGTGGGGGAGCGACATGACCAAATTTCTGATTTGAGAGTGACCCTGTCGCTGGGAGAATGGGTTGGAGGGTCAAGGTGGAGACCAGGTGGGAGGCTATCATCCGAGTGAGACCACAGGGTTGGGGTGGGGAAACTGCTGGACGCCGGGATGAGCAGGACGTCGAGCTGACTGGTGCCCGACTGCATGAGCGAGTGTGGGGAGAGGGAGTCGGGTAGCAGCCAGGCCGCTGGTTTGGGCAACTGAGTGGAGGGTGGCACCAGTCCCCAAGGTGGGAGGTTTGGAAGAGTGGCAGAGAGTGGGGGCAGCGTGTGTTTCAGTTGGGTTGCTTTGGGGACGTCAAAAGGAAGATGTTGCCGGAGTGGTTTGCTGTACCTAGCTCTGAAAAGAAGGTCCTAGGCCCAAGATACAAATCTGGAAATTGATGACATAGTCGTTCGTTCCTTCGTCAGATATTTACTGAACACCGACTCCATGCAAGGCGCCGTTCTAGGTGGTTCTGCCCTTACGGAGCTTTCATGCTTGGGGAGATAGAGTGGCAAAGGGAGGAGGGAAGGGGTCTGAGGCCGAACGCTGAGAGCTCCAGTCTAATGGTTGGGGAAAGGAGGAGAAGCTGGAAGAAGAGGCTGTGACAAGGGGCCAGACAGGTAGGAGGAAGCGGTAGGAAGAGGGAGACGGCAGGAGACAAGGACAGGGGAGGGTCTAGGTACAGACAAGTGACAGGAAGCTTGCCTGCTGGGCAAGGAGGCCACCGGCCAGCTCAGGGCTGTCTGGGGTTGAGGATGGGGCCGAAGGAGTCGTGGGAGGGGACAGGCCTGCCTGGCCAGAAAGACAAACAGCAGGACTGCAGCAGAAGAAGGGGCTCCTGATGGTCCAGACCCCCAAAGGATGTCCCTGTGGTGATGGGGAGGATGTCACTGCCCTGTTGCTTCTCTGGGCTCTTTGAGAGCAGTTTCTCAAACTCAGCACTATCGGCATTTGGAGCCAGATAATCCTTGGTGACAGGGCTGTCCTGTGCAGTACAACATCCCAGGCTTCCACCCCCGGCTGCCAGCAGCACCACCCGCACCCCACTGCGACAATCACAAATGTCTCTAAACATTGCCAAAGGTCCCCTGAGGAGCAGAATCACCCCGAATGAGAACCGCTGTCGCAGAAGCAGAAGGGGATTCTTAACTTCACTGGGCAAAAGAGGCAGATGTCTGTGGTTTGTCTTCCCGTGGAGTTGGATGGTTTCGGGTAAAGGATTGAAGTAGAGATTCGGTGTGGTGCAAGCGACCCCCCCCCAGCAGCGAAACTGGAATGTTCCACAAGAGTGACGGTGACTTTCTGTGGTTTTCCAAACTGCAGAGGTGTCAGTACACTTGATGAGGTCTCCTTACCGCCAAGAGTGTTAGGGAACCAGCAGGAGGAGAGAGGCCTTTGGAAAAGGGCCTTGCAGCTTTCCTCTGGAGGACGGGCCGAAATGGGTTTTTCCATCCAGTCCCAGCGTCACGCGCCCAACCAGAGACTGGGGCGGGGAGCAGTGAGTAACCAGTATCTGCAGACTGCAGGGAACAGAAGCGCAGGCAGCCATGGGGCTTGCAGTGCGTTGTCCCCACCCGCCCAGGGCCACCGCCGTGTTCCCATCTGCAGACTCCAGAGCAGCGAGGCTTGGCGTGCTTTGCAGCGTCTCCTGGGCTGCTGGGATCCTCATTTCACAGCGGGGAAAAAGAGAGGCAGCAGTGTGCCCACTGGGCTTAGTTGGAGCTGGGCTGCAAACCCCTGTACCCCACTAATTCTGCAGCCACCACTTTGTCCCTTCTGTGGGAGAGTGCTGAGCCTGCTGCCATGAGGGGCCCTGAATAGCCTGCGTCCAGGACCATCTGGGACCCAGCTCCTCGGAGGACGCAGGATCCAGGCCCAAGAGTCCTCCCTCCTCGTCCTCCTGGTGGCTCAGTATATCCAGTGTGGCCATCACGTGCCCTTCCGGGGCTCAGACCTCTCGTGGGCCACACTAGGCGCTCGGTGGACATCGAGCTTGGCCTCCCATGGGCACAGCCACAGGGGGTCTCTGAGCCCTTGGCACCAACACAAGAGCCCAGTGAGCTGGGACAGAAGGACCTGTGGTTGGGTCCCTCACAAAGGACTGGTCTCTCTTAGCCTATTGCCACATTTGTCCAGCCTGTCGTCCCCAGAAGCAGCGCCCGCACCTGTCAGCACGTGTCACCTCCTCACAGCCAAGCCTGCTCTGGGGGCCAGCCTGCCAGGCCACTGCCAACCAGCCCCTCGTCACAGCCCCAGCCACCCAGTCTGGGCACACAGCACAGCATCTGGCTGGAGGAGGCCTTGCCAACATGTCACTTCCGCCATCCTCCCATGGATGGTCACCCAGGGCGGAGGCCTGTCGGCAGAGGCTTGCTGGGAAGAGCCCTGGGGCTGTCCGCCCACCCTCTGCCTCTGCACTTCATCTTCCTCTTTCCTGCTGTGGCTGGAGAGATGACACGGCGAGCAGACTGCTGGGATGAAGCCACAGGCCTGATAAGGAAGGCACTAAGTGAATTCCTAACCCGCTCCTTCAGCTGCGAAGCAAACTACACACAACTCCTCTCAGCCTCCGAGACTGAGCACTGACAAAGGAGAGGTTCTTCTAGCCGAGATGTAGAAAGCGTCACTTCTGCAGCGGTGTGTCAGCTCTGGGCCCGGAGCAGCTGCTGTCTATAGAAGGACAAAGGCATCCGGAGTTCTTCAAGATAAACATCTGCTGGGGCTTCTTGGCATCGAGGAAGATGCATGATTTCCCTCCGCTGCTTCGCAGAGGAGGTGCGGGAGTGGGAACGAGGTGCCCGAACTGCAGCCAGGCCTGGGTGGGTTGGACGTCCCCTCGGTGTCCACATGGCCTCCCGACCCGCTTGGACGTGACCATTTGGAGATACACTGAGGTCGGGAAGCCAACAGCTCCAACACCGATCTCCCAGCCAGCCTCGCCACAACCCACGCCTGTCTAGGGCCCTTCTCTCGGCTGCAGAGAGTTGAGGCCAAGCACACAGATTGGAGGATGCATGGCAAGGGGTGCTGTGGGCTTCTTGCGCTGTACCCCCATCCTCTCCCCAACCCTAGCCCCTACCCCTCCTCAGGCCTGCGCAGCAGTGGGGCCAACGTGCCTCCCACAGGTGCTCCGAGGAAGAGTAGCTTCTAGACTCAGGCTGGGGTTCACACCCCGGTTCCTCCCATTCTCCTGACTGGTTTCCAAGCCCTTTCTGCTTTGGCCAGGAAACAGAGATGACAGTAGTGCCTGCCTTGTCATCTCACAGGGAGTTATGCAGTGGTGCTGGCCGTGTTTGGTAAAGGGGGGCTGTTGTCCAGCCTCCTGACCTGGTCTCTGCCTCCCATGGTGGTCTTTGGGGAAGGAAACCAGACCGGCACTGGAGGGTGACATGATTGGCCCTTCTGGGCTGAGAGCCGGCCCCCCGGTGCACCCACTAACACCACTGCGCCCCACGTAGGTGTCGGCGTGGGCTGCCCCCTCCAGCCGCCCCCGCCCCGCACGCCGGTGCCGGCGGAACAAGCCCGGGCCTTGTCTGCCCGTGAACCGGTCCCCTCATTCTCAGTAGAAAGGGAGAGCCGGGGAAGCCCAGCCTCTTTGATTAACTGCGATATGAACTCCAGCGTGACCCAGCAGCTGCGATGTGTACAAGGCCTGCTTCTGTGTGGGAAGTGAGCAAAGCCGAAGACACGCACTCTGCGCGCCAGCACGGCCCTCCGGCCAGCCGGGCTTTGGCTGCAGCCACTGTGCGCTCCCCTCCTCTTCCTCCCCACTGCCTCGCAAAGAGGACCCGCCAGAGAATGCTCTCATTTGTCACATGCGCCCACCGCCCCTGCGCTGTGAATGGAAGGGCTCCCGCCGAGCTCATGGTAGATGAGGTGCGGGCACCCTCCCCGGGGAAAGGGACATCCTAAGATGAGGCTGGTGCTTGGGGAGGGTGGGCGGGGGCAGAGGTGGGAAAGGAGGAAGTGGTCACGGGACTTCTTTCATGAGACCCTGAGCCAGAGAAGCCCAGCGATAAGGCTTTCTGGCTCCTGTTCCTCCCCTCACCCCAACTCAGACGGACACGGCAGAGTCCCCAGCCGAGCACATGCTCCGAGTCCCTAACATGTGCCCTACTAATCCTGCCTCTCCGTGGTGTCCTGGGTTTGCACAAGGGCTGTTGTGCTGGGCAGGGGGATGGGGCAGTGGGGAGTTGATTGGCCGCCGAGGTGGGTGGTGGGGCAGGGCAGCCACTAGAAACTGGACCTGTTTTTAATTGCGGGGACCAGGAGGGAGGGCCTCAGAGAAGAAGCTCTCTTTCAGGCTGTAATTGGGAAATTCCACTTAGCTGACCCTGTGCGTGCTGGCCTGTGAGTCAGGTCTCCGCAGCGTGTGGGGCCACCCGTGTCCCTGCCAAGCCTACCCCTCCTCCCAGGCAGCCCAGTCTCTGTGAGTCTTCGTTCAGACCACCTTACCTGCCAGGGACACTGGCCAGACCCCAGAAGCCCATTGCGATGATGCCATGGAAGGTGAATTGGAGGGAAGTGACAAGACCTGCATCCGGGCATCACCTCTGGTCCCCAGCTCAGGAGAGAGAGCTTCAGAGCGGCCCCACTCAGTTCTCTTCCTGTTGCCCCTGTAAGGGATTACACCCCTTTGTTCAGAGTAAAAATAAATCGCTGTGGCAAGGGCACACGAACCAGAGTCAGTGTTGGAGGAGGCCCCGATCCACCTGCCCAGAATAGGTGGGTCTTGATCTTTGATTGGTTCGTAGCCATATTGATTGAGTCCCCACCCGAGGGGAGGGGACAGGACATGGAACAGGCGAGAGGCATTCTTCCTCCCCTCTCAAAAGAAGCTTCTCTTCGCTGGCTTTAATTAAGGTCTGCCCAGCTGCTGTGTGATTCTTCTGGATCCTTCCACAGTGGTTCTCCCCCCACGGGCTGGGGCTGGGGTGCCTTTTTTGCATTGCAGGGGCTGCAGAGGGGGCGTGCGGTAGAAGCCATTTTGCACAACCAGCTCTTGTCTTCTGATTTCCTAATTGGGGACGACACTGTGGGAATGTGAACTCCAGGGAGGCCCGAGAGGCCAGTTGGACATGCAGAAAAGATTGCCTGGCAGAAAAAGAGTCTTGACCTCCAAGGTAAAAAGAGGTGTCCTTGTGAGGGCCAAAATTCAGGGAGCCCAGAGAGCCCATGCCAGCCTGTATTTGTGTTGTCCTCTAGTGCCTGGCAAAGTCACCCACATCCCAGCACCCCACAGAACCGTCTGAGATGGAGCCCCCTGTTCCTCGTTGACCCGGGGTGGCAGGGAGGGCTGAGGGACCTGCGGACAGGCCGCCGGGCTCGCGCCACCGCCTCCGAGCAGTCCCCACACTGGCACTCCCATAAGAAGGGATGTCCTTTCTTCTGGAAATGGAAACCACGTGTGATGGGCCTTGTCGGGGCGGGCTGGGATTTATTAGGGCTGACGGGTATGAGGGCAGCAAGGGACTTGCCGGCCAGAGAAGCCTGGGACAGTGTGCTCCGAGAGCTTCAAAGGGCAGCGTCCTGGTGTTTGAAGGGCCCGTTCACTTTGAGCAGGGCGGGTGGGAGGTTAAAGGTCACAGGTGAATTTAGCGGGGGAGGCCACGTGACCTTCAGGGTGACCCTTATCCCCACACCCCAAGCAGCCACCCTCCCCCTGAGCCAGCCTGCCCCCTGGGACGGAGGGCAAGACCCGGCAGCTGGGGGACAGCACCGCACCTCAGTGCCCACCGCACAGCACGTGCCGTCAGACTCCTCCTCAAATGGGTGCTGGCACCTACCTGCCTCTCCCTGAAAGCACTTTCTTTGCAGTGTCTACTCCTGAGAAGCATCGCCTCCCCCAGCCTGTAGCTCAAGCAGCCAGCGGGGCTGGGGTGGGAGGGTGTCAGGAACTGTTTTCAGGGGCTAAGGACCCAATGAATTTCTTTCTGAAGCTTGAGCGGTTGTTTCTGGTTAGAACCTGCAGTACTCTGATCTGTTTATACTTAAAGGTGCCAGGAAACTCAGAAGGCTTTGACATGGTAACTCAGACAGCTTGGTTCATTAGCAAGTAGCCAATGTGTATCATAATGTTGCATCTTTTGAAAAAAAAAAAATGGCAGGCCAGCACAGGCCTGTAATCCTAACACTTTGGGAGGTTGAGGTGGGAGGATTGCTTGAGCCCAGGAGTTCAAGACCAGCCTGGGCAACATAGTGAGACCCCATCTCTACCATAAAAAAAGAAAAAGAAAAAAACATGGCAGCAGGTTTAGAAATGGTTCCTAGAAGCCGTTTTCCATCCTCCTGCCTCCTTGGGGTAGGGCCGCATCTGAGCCAGGATGCCTTTTAAACTCCTTGCAGAAAAGCAGCTAGAGTATACCTTGGCCATTCTTTCAAGAGTCTGTTTCTCAGGAAGCTCTTCCTTTTCTCCTGGTATCATTTCAGTGCCGGTTTCCTTGGGCTGCCCTTGGAGTCCCCTGTGGGGTCCTCCCTTCTCTCGTCTCAAGTCATTTCATTAGCAGACAGTCACAAAGATCACAGAAGCCCCACACCCTGACCGCTGTCTTCAGAAAAGTACCCAGAAGGGTTTCCACCGCGTGCAGTTTGTAAAAGGCCCTCCCGACCGGGTGCACCTTCCACGTGAAAGGCGAAGTCGTGTCCCGGCACGCGGATGGTGGCGCATGCTAGGGCCTGGCTGGGGGAACTGTGGCACAGACGTTGCCTCTGACGGCACTCACAGCCCACGTGACGGGTGCCGGACAGGCCAGTGCCTCTTCATAGCCCAGGCTAGATGGTCCACCAGAGATGCTCTTAGGATCCGAACTCAGGATAAGAGAACCTTAAGTGAAAGTTTGCTGCTTTAGACAGCGTGAGTGAATTTTAGGCAAGTGTGAGCTTTGGGTCTGTTGCTGTTGTCATTGTCGTCGTATCTTAAATCCCCCTGTGTCATCTGAGTCTTTCCCCCCCACCTTCCTCACCCCAAGTCCTGTGTAGCCATCCAAGGACCCCAGAGCTGAAGGTTCCCCTGCCAGGCCTCGGGGGTCTTATGTTGTGGGAAGGGGAGAAAGATGGCCGAGATGGTGAAACAGGTGTGTCAGGAAGTGCCTGTCGTGAGCACATCACACGGGCCGAGAGGACACGTGCTGGTCCCACACTGGCACCCCAGGATCCACCGAACCCTGTCTGCAGAGCAGGCCCAGGTCCACCAGCCCCGAATCCATGGCTGGGAGGGCCCAGAGGGGTGCCATGGCTGTCCCACACGCTAGGGCAGAGCTGAGACATGAGCCTCTGTCTCCCGATTGCCACACGCCAGTACAGGACCCCAGATCTGGCAGCCGGGACCCTGGGAGGTTCTTGGCCTCATCGGGAAGAAGCTGTGCTCGCTCACGGCAGCCCTTCCTCCCAGCGTTGTTAACCCGTAGAGAAATTCCCCCCAGAGACCCTCCTGGCGAGCCCTCCTGCTCCTGTTTCGATGGCTCCCACGGGCCGCCTGCCACCTGCTCAGGCAAAAAGGAAATGCCAAGTAAATCCGTGCGTCCCCTTCTTCTTCCTTCCAGGCCCCCAGCCCCTGCACACTCCGGCCCACCCATTGTCCCAGCCTACTTCCGGTTTCCAGGCAGCATAATCTCCTCGGAACTCCCAGCACTTCGGCAGTGAGTGTCTCTCTTGATCTAAAGCTCCCTTTTGACTCTTGCTCAAGAGGACGTGTCTCGCCCCCTCCTTCCCCCGGGGGATTTGTTTTGCCTCCCGCCTTATCGCCGTCGCTGGCATCTTCTACACGGGCCTTTTTGAAGCCCAGCTGAGGCGGATTCGAGTGCACTCCGGAGTCAGCTCATTCCGTTCTAGTCCTCCACCGAGTGCCCCGTGCAGTCCGCTTGGAACCTGGTCTCTCTTTACTGTCGCGTCCCTGCCCCAGCCCAGTCTGTGCCCCGGCTCCAGGCCTACTTAGAGCCACCCGGAGCCTCCTAGTTGCTCCCTAGAGAGCCTCGTCTTTAGCCTGGTAATGGCACTTGTGTCTCCATTTCACCCTCCACCTTGTTGTCAGTACACCTGTGGCCTTCGTCGGGCCCTTCTGCCCCCAGACTTGCTGTTTGCATGTCCAGTGAAGGAAGGACAGTCGTCCAAACTTGAGGACTCCCAGCCCTTCCTGCTGCTTCAGGAAAGAGTCTTAGAAATGCCACTGTGCCTGGGAAGTCCTGACTTGTTTTTGGCTTGGTTTGGCATCTCTCTAGTAAAGCCTTCTCCCCGTGTAAACCACGCAACACCTGTGCTTCAGTGCCCCAGATATGTCGTCTTCCCTTCTCCCAGTCAGGGCAGCATGCGGCCCCCCTCTCTCCATGCTGTGATGCCCACGATGCCTTTGTGGAATGCAAATTTAAAGAACAACATACTATGGGAAAGCGCACAGAGGTGTACTATTGCTGTACGTGTGGCATGAGTGTGCCACAGCCCAGTGAGTTTTCACTAATTGTTGCACCCACCTAACGACCCAGATCAAGAAATAGAACATTTCCAGCACCGAGAGTTCCCTTTCATGTCCTTCCCCTCCTTCGTTTGACCTGGTTTTGAAGTTTATATAAATGGAATCATACAGTTTGTGTTTTTGTGTTTTGTCTTTTGGGGGTTTTTTTTTTTTTTTTGGTTTTTTTTTCAGAGCCAGGGTCTTATTCTGTCACCCAGGCTTGAGTGCAGTGGCCCGATCATATCTCACTGCAGCCTTGAACTCCTGGGCTCAAGCAATCCTGCCTCTGCCTCCAGAGTAGCTGAAACTATAGGCGTGCACCAGAACGCCTGGCTAATTTTTTTATTTTTATTTTTGTAGAGGTAGGATCTTGATATGTTGCCCAGGCTGGTCTCAAACTCCTGGCTTCAAACAATCCTCCCACCTCAGCCTCCCAAAGTGCTAGGATTACAGGCGTGAGCCACCCTGCCCAGCCCCGTTTGTGCTCTTTTATAAAGCCTGGCTACTACTGATCCACATTAGGTTTGTGAGAGTCCTCTGTACTAAGAGTTCACATTTCCATAGAGTGTTCCACCATGTGAAGATACCATGATTTATTTGTCTGTTCTAGAAATGATAGCCACGTGGGTTATTTTCTGTTTGGCACTATTATGTATAATGCTACTATGAACGTTGTATTACATGTCTTTTGGTAAACACATATACACATTCCTGCTAGGTATATAAGCTAGGAAGTGCTGGGTTGGCAAGCACACACGCAATCAGCTTTGGGAGATACCGTGCACAGTGCTCGCACCAACTTCCACTCCCATCGGCAGTGTGGGAGAGTTCCGGTTGCTCCACGTCCTAACCAACACTTGGTATCATCCGTCTTTGGGTTTAGCCATTCTGGTGGGTGTGGTGCTATCACCTTGTGGTTTCACTTTGCATTTCCCTGAAGGCTAATGGAGTCAAACAACTTTTCATAGCATGTTGACCTTTCGGATATCCTCTTTTGTGACGGGCCTGTTTGAGTCATTTTTGCATTGAGTTTTCAATGTTTTTCTTATTGACTGTGGAAGTTCTTTGTATAGTCTGAATTTGAGTCTTTCTCAGCTGTGTATACTGTAATTATCTGCTCTGTGGCATGCCTTATTGCTCCCTTAATGTGTCCTTTGATGAGCAGATGTTCTTTATTTTAACATAGTCCAGGTAGTCAGTTTTTCTTCATGGTTAGCGTTTTCTAAGTTTTGTGGTGCTTTTTCAGGGGATTAGGAGCTCATGGGAACATACCCATGATGCTGCCTGCTCTGCTTGGTGTTTCTCAGGCATCCCCAGGGAGGGGGATACTGAGCACCAGCTGCCCAAGACCCAGAGGCCTTAGTTGGTAGCTCTGGACAGGTTCTTAGAGACCACCCAGCCTGTTTGTGCTTTGTAAAGACACAAATTCCTAATGGAACCTGGGGGGCTTCTGGTGCGGGGAGCCACTGCTCGGTGTTGGGCAGCACGCTGGGGTGGCATATGGTAGGGACCCGGGTCAGAGGTACCACAGCGGGACTTACTTGGCCTGTGCATCTAAGGTGGAGGTTGGGAAGACCCAGGAACTCTGGCGGCATCTCCCTGTAGCGCCATCGCTCTCTCTATAGCCCTTGTTTGGGGTCAGCCTTGTTGCTTTGATCTCTTCCAAGTGGCGGAGACATGGCCACCACATTACCTGGTGGTCACATTCCTGTAGGTCGTGATCCCAAAGGAGGCTGCTGTGACAGGCTCAGACAGGGTCAGCGGCAGAGAGGTGGGGCTGAGGGGGCCAGGAGTGGCAGCCCTGACAGAGCCCCACGTGGAAGTGGGGAGCCAGGGGCTGCTCTCACCACATGGTGCTGGACAGTCAGAACCACAGGGCCACCATGTGGCTGCCTTCCTGAGCATGGTTTTCTTACATGAAAATGGAGATAGGGTTATTTCTGTCTCCTCCTCATCCTCGTGAAGATTAGATGACGTGGCGCATGGAAAGTGCTAGCATGTAGGAACCATGCGTAGGTATCAGCGGCAACTGCAAGGGTGATGGTGGGAAGGAGCGTCAGTCCTCGCTGCACTTGTGCCCGGCTGGGCCTGGCATCTGCTCACTGTCCTGCTGCCGACTCGGGCCCAACTCCTGGAGAGCGGGTGTCTGGGATTGCCTCACTTTCTCCTGTCTCTAGAGAAGGGTAAGAGAGAAAGGCTTTAAGTGTCCATCACTCAAACAAGGACATGAGCCCCAGCATCCTCTCTTCCTCTGTCGCCCTCCCCACCTCCCAGCACACCCTCGTTCATCCGGTCAGGACTCTGGGCGGGATGTGACCGAAAGCCAGCTCTACCCTACCGTAAGAAAGGTAAGGGTGTGTGCAGGTAAGGACGAGGATTGGCTCGTCACAGGAAGTTTAAGGCTGGAGCCTCCTCTTGCCCTCAGGACTCGGTCCTTAGAGGAGGCGTAGCCGTGTGATGGGAGCAGGGGGTAGTAGCTCAGGGAATTTATAGCGAGGAAGCTCACCTGGCTGGGGGCAGGGGTCAAAGGTTCAGTGCACACAGCAGGCCGTTCCATGCACGTCCTGGGCCGAGGGTCCTGCCTTCACCAGGGTTGCAGTCTAGGGGGACGGGCAACAAGTCACAGAAACGTGCGACCCCGTGTTGTGATGTGCCTGGAAGGAAAGGCTGGGGCTGGGGAGAGGTCCTCAGCTTCCGGCCTTTGGGAAGGGGGTGTCCTGCAGCCTCCGTGGAGCCCGGAAGCCGTGACCTGGTTGCAAGGTTTTCTCAAAGCTTAAAAATGCCCTAGTTTTCCCTCCTCGGGCTCCGCTGAAGCCACGCCAAGAATTGGCTTTTAAAGGCCGCCTGAAATGTGGTTTGGAGCCAAAAATTTATAGAGCCAGTGCATTTGTGACCTTGTTGAAAATGCTTACTGAGGAAAACCAAGGGGTAGGATTTAGGACTTTTTTTTTTCTTTTATAAAATTAAAAAAAAAATCTCCTTGGTCCATCCCCACCGCATGCCTTCCCCACCTGCAGCCCCTCACCCCCACGGCCGACTCCCCGCTGCCCCCACCGTGTCCTCCACTCGGCCACACCTGCCCCTCCCCAGCCCCTCACCAGCTCCCACCATTAGTGTCGAAAAATACCAAGTGGGTAAAAAATAAGGAGCCTGGGTAGAGCCCTGGAAATTAGGCCACAGCTGTCAGGCCAGGCAAGAGCCCTCACATCTCTGTGGATGAAGCTGCCGGGAGCCAGAGCGCGGCCCCTCCCCGCCAGGGCAGATAAGGGGGGCGCTGCTGCTGTGCTGGGCAGGGGCGGCCAGGAAGCGCCATGTGTCACTGAGCAGACCTGCCCGGGTGTCCGTCGGTGCCAGGCCCAGTACCCGCCAGTGGGGACACCGCCGTGGGCAGAGCCAGTCCCTGCCCGCCGGGGTTAGTCTCACTCACAAGTGACAGCATCATAGTGTGATGATGCTCTGTGGAGCAGATGGGGTGGGGGTGCCCAGCCCTTTGGAGGGGTACGGGAAAGCTTCTAGAAAGACGATGTCTAGAAAGAGGATGTCTATGCTGAGCCAGGAAAGATCAGCAGGATAGCTGGGGTGGGGAGGAGAAGGGGTTTCACAGCAGGCAGTCTGCGCACAAGCCGGGGGGCCACTTCCCCAGCCCTGGGCCACTCGGAGCATGGTTAGGAGGCCAGGCCCCTGGCGGCTCCACAGGCAGCCCTGGGCTACCCCATGAGCCACAGATGGGCCGGACCAGGTTCAGAAAACTCCCTCCACCCGGGTAGGAGTGCCTCAGTCCCTGAGAGGAGAAGCCACTCATGTGCAGCCACCCTGGAGTGCTGAGGATAGGCAGCGGGAGTGTTGGAGGCTGTGCCGAGTGGCTTCCAGAGCTCAGCACCCTGCTGGCTCCCAGAACTTAAGGGGATCAGGAGGGAAGTGGGGCCCAGGGCCCACAGGGGGTGTGGGGGTGTCACTCATTCGCTGTGACAGCTGTGGCCTTACACTCCCTCCCCTGCCATCAGCCTCATAAAGGCTGGTTAAAGAGCTCGCTCAGGAAGCTTGCTTGACACAAGGGTTCTTGCTGCCATATCATTCTAGAAGGTTCAGTGCTGCTGGGACAGGCAGTTTAAGCAGATAATCAGAGCTGAGTTTAAAACCTTGACACCCCAGAAATCCCTGGCCTGGACTTGTCGGTCTTTTAAAGGGAGACTGTCTTGGGTCGGTTAAGGTACCTGTGAATCCAGCAACTTTCCTCATCCTAAGAAGAGTCAGCTTTTCCTTTCGTCCAGGGAGAGCTGAGCCCCTCCTTCCCTGCGGGCGAAGGCCTGCCTCCCTGGAGCCCCTTTCCTGAAGGAGACCCCCGCCCACCTCTGCCGGAAGCCCCTGGCCCTCGCACTTGGCAGGTTCCTGGAGTTACCTCCCTTCCTTCCTGCCCTTGAAGCCTGTCCCGGTCCAGCTCCTTCTGCTGCTGCAGGCCCCCAGCAGCGTGGTAATTGGTTTCTCAGACCCTCAGCTGTGGGCCCGTCTGCGAGCACTTCCCTAGGCAGGAAGACCTATCTGTGCTCCTGCCCCGCGGGGAGCCCCGCAGGGAGAGGCAGTGGGGAACTGACTGAACCTTCCAGACCTTCTCTCATTCCTGCCAATGATGCCTAAAATAGACAGCAAAAGTACTGCCGCTCTGCCCCAGTCCACGGTCGCATCCCCCGGCCCCAGGATGGGCTCCGGGCCGGTGGGGCTGGCCCGGGGACAGGGCACCGCGCAGCTGCCGAGCGTGATCTGTCTCCAGCGGCTGCAGAGATGAGTGTATGCAATTACAGCTCCTGGAAGGTCACAGCCTTCATTTTATTTTTGTGGCACTTGCAGAAGAGTTCAGTCTCGCTTCACATGTGCACAGCCCCAGGTTCAGCCCGCTAATGGCTTTCTGGGAGAGAAAAGGCGGCAATCAAAGATGTGCCCACAGGCAAGCACGATGGCCAGAGAGAGCAGAGAGCCCAGATGGGCAGCAGTGGCCGAGGGGGTGAGGGACGGCAGGGGGGTCACAGTGGTGTGGCCTCTGAGGAGGACCTGAGATTTCATCATCTGTGTCTGTGCTGTGATCGTCCCTGTCCACGACCTCTCAAGTGTCCCCCTGGCCCATCCCTGACCCGGCTCTGCCCTGCCCCTCAGAAAGGACATCTGCAAAGGCAGCCCCAGACCCTTTGCACTTGAAGATGATTGCATGGGATAGAAGCAATATTTAAGCAGCACCCAGAAGGGCTGCCGTCAGGGCGGCTTGTGGTCTGCTCAGATTCTCAGATCCCACTCTGCTGGTAGCCGATTTGCACCAATTGCAGCCTGGTCAGCCCCATTGATAAGACTTCCCTCCCCTCCTGGCAATTCTATTTCAGGAGAAAGCCTCCCCCTGTAGTAGGCACTCCTGCCTCAAAGTGGAGCCAGGCCTTTTTTTCCCTGCTCGTATTATGCTAATCACTCCTTGCAAACAGGCAGACTTTGTAGGAGGTTTGCCTGGTTTTAAATGAAACATACGCCTTTGAAGCAAAGAGCCGCAGTCGCTAAAAATATCATTTCCCGGCAGTTGATCCTCTCATTTGTAAAATGCATGTTTCCATTGTTAAATCCGCAGCAGCCCCCTCTGGAGAGGAGCGCTCCGCCATCACTGCTGGGCCCAGCGACACCCGCCGGGGAGGCGCCACCTTCCCCAGCCCCGCTCCTGCCTCTGCCACTGAGCATCCCCGCCAGGGAGTCCAGGACAATTGCAGTCGTGTAGGCTTCTAAATACTTTCTCATTTATTATTTAGAAATACTGAAATTATCAAATATTGAAATAATGGAGGCTGAGGTGGGAGGATCGCTTGAACCCAAGAGTTCAAGGCTGCAGCAAGCTATGATCGCACCACGGCACCCCAGCCTGGGCAACAGAGCAAGACCCCATCTCCAAAAAAATACAAATTTGAAATAATGCAGAGTCTATAGCGTAAAATATGAAAGACCCTTTAGCACTACTTCCTCCCCCAAAAGTAGCCTCTGTTGTCAGCTTCTTGTATTTCCTTCCAGAAGCTTTTCTGTGCATTTATAAACATAGGACCTGGTTTGGTGCTGTTTTTCCAGCAGTGGGTTCTAGACTCAGGACCTCTCTGTCGTTCGCCTTGGTCTCACCCCCTTTGCAGTCTTTGGGCAGAGCGTGTCTCCCTGGGGACCCTGAGCCCAGGTGGACACTGCCCTCTGCTCTCTGGGCCAGAGCACAGTGGCTAAGGGTCGCTCTCCCCGCTGCCAGAGGTGGCCCCATCTCAGTGTTAAAATCTGTCCCCAGCCTTTCTCTGTGTGTCCCTGGCATCTTTGCTCTGAGGAGTAGTGGCGTGATCCTGGGGGGAGCTTTGTTCAGGGGGGGCCTGGTCTATAACTGAGACCTGGGACTAGGACATGTCCCCCCCCAGAGTGACTTCCAAAGACACCTCACATCTGGGGCCTCTCTCATTCTCAGGCATTGAATCCAGTGAAGATTTCCTGGGCTGGCCAGGAACATGTGGACGAAAAGCCTATTTCATGCATCTTAAAATTCCCTGAAAATGTCTGATGACAAAAGGAATTTTTTTCAGCCTCCTGGCAGGGGGTGGGGGAGGGTACGATGAAAAGAATCGGCCCCTTCCATGTGGCCACAAATACCTGAAGGAGTCCCCTCCATGCTGCCTTTGTCCCACCACTTCTGCCGTGGCTCTTGCATCCTTCCAGCCCTTTCAGACTCTGATCTTTCACCAGCTTCCCCGAGACTGCAGCGCGGCTGCTCTGATATCTGCTCTTTGTTACCAGTGGCGGGGATTAGTGTTTAACTCCCCATCCTGTTTTCTGACGTTTATCTCAGTGCCCTTTAAGTGGGTACTTGCAAAGGCTACAGAAAACCATCTCAGTTCATACAATTTCACAAAACCCCCGACTAAGGATGTAAAGACCAGAAAGGCACTAATGGCTCAAGCTTGTAATCGGGAAGTCACTGTGGAAGTCTCATTGAACCAGAAAGGCGGGAGTGACTGTGCGTGCTCCCCAGGGGTGCCACTGCTCCAGGGGTAAGCCGAGCCACCAGCTGCCAGAGGAGGTGATGCTGGAGACCGGGAGAGTCCTGGGGAAGCCCTGGTCTTGCCCAAGAGCTGCTCTTTTTTCCCTCCTGTTTGGACAGAGGAAGTCAGAGCTGCTGCACAGTGGGCTTGGGACCGTCAAGATAGGGACCAGCAGGGAAACAGTGACATGCCAGGTAACACTCAAGAAAAAACAGGACCCAGCCGGGCTTGGTGGCTCACGCCTGTAATCCTAGCACTCTGGGAGGCCGAGGCGGATGAATTGCTCAAGGTCAGGAGTTCGAAACCAGCCTGAGCAAGAGCGAGACCCCATCTCTACTATAAATAGAAACAAATTAATTGGCAACTAAAAAATATATACAAAAACTTAGCCGGGCATGGTGGCGCATGCCTGTAGTTCCAGCTACTCGGGAGGCTGAGGCAGGATGATCCCTGAGCCCAGGAGTTTGAAGTTGCTGTGAGCTAGGCTGATGCCACGATACTCTAGCTCAGAAAAAAAAAAAAAAATACAGGACCCAAGCTCCATGCTGGTGTGGGCAGGGCCAAGAGAAGACAAGCTCCAAGGCCGAGCCCAGGCTCTGTGGCCCCCCATTCTATGCAACGGCCACTGAAATCACCCAAGTCCCCCGAGAGAGTACATTGCCACACCTAGAGCAGTCAGCCCTGCTGGGGCAGCTGGGGCAGCGGGTCTCGGGCCACCCAGGCAGCTCATTAAGAATACAGATCACTGACCACCTGCAGGAAGTGGCTGTGCACAGTTTTGGTGTTCCAAACATCTTCCGGTGACTCGGGTTCAGGAGTCCCTCAATTAGGAGATGTTCCTGGCTTGGGGGACCCTCCTGGTTCTGGAGAGTAAATGTGCAGCCTTCTTGACGGGTGAGGACACTGGTGGGACAGGGGTGGTGACTCTCTGCTGAGAGGTATGGAGCTGAAGTCATGCCCATGGCACCCGAGGGCAGAGCACTCAAGATGCCACCAGAAATCAGAGTGGCAGCCCGGGTTGGAACTCCCTCAGAGCGAGTAAAGTGCTTTGGAGGAAAGTCGCCATGGGAACGTGAAATACCAGTGAATCACTGTGATCACCCGGGGACAACCACGAGGACAGCCCACTTGTGTAAATCATTTGAGAAGGGAAGCATTGTCACCTCAGGCCATGGCCACATGACATAAACACCTGTGGCTTTGAGGCTGGAGGGGCCAAAGGTGGGCCCTGCAGAGGCCTTGGTGGTGGGGCCCAGGGCTGACAGAAGTGGAAGGATGGTCACCATCTGTGAACGCTCGTGGGTGTGTAAACAGCAGCAGGGACGGTTCCCTTGGCCTGGAACAAAGGGACTAGTCTGGGAGAAACAGAATGAAGTAAAGGAAAATGTGAACGGAACAGCCTGGTAACGCGGGAAGACTTCCAGGACAGGGGTGTCCCCAGCCATGTGTGGGTACCATGGGTCACCCTGGCCAGCTGCTCCCCCACCTCCTTTCTCACAAGGCAACCCCAGTAGTTCGAAGGCAGAAATGGCAGCAGTACAGGGTGCCTTTCCCTTACCTGTTCCATGACAGATGCTCTATATCCAAGGACCTGACATGAGGTCACATGCCAGGGGGTAAAGGGACATTTCTGCCCTGGGCGTTCAAGCTGCAGGGAATTGGAGCCCTCAGATGGGTGAGAAGCGGGGCTGGGCCAAGGAGAGGACGTCTTTGTCCTTCAGCGGATGTCACACGATGTGAGGCTCTCTGGCAGAGTGAGAACGTGACCTCCAGGTCAGGGACCCAAGTTCTGTCCCTGCTATGGCCTTGGCTTTGTGGCCTGGAGCCAGTCCTTGGCTTCGGTTTCTTCCTGTGTCCCTCGAGGCAGCTGGAGCGCATGGGCCCAACTGGAAGATGGCAGGGGCATGGAGGGACAGGCGGCAGCACGCCAGGCTAGGCGCCCCTCCCTTGCACTCAGCACACCTTGGAAGGACATCCTGCTTAACGGGCAGAGCTCAAGGGACTTCAAGGGAGAGAAAGGTGACTCCATGTTCTCTGATAGCCAACCAACGAGACTCTGGGGCAGCTGGGCTCAGGGATGCCACGTCTCCCTGGGCACCAGGAGTCATTATATTAAACTGCCTGACCCTGGACCTCAGACGACAGCTGGCCTGGGACCCACACTTAGGAGCTACTGCTCCCAACAGAAGTTCCTGAGAACCTGCTGTTGGAGTCACCCCCATAGACCCTTCTACCCCCGGATCTGAGTGTGGGTCTGGGCTGCAGAGCTGTGGGTGCAGTTCCCAGGTCCTGCTTCCTTCTGGTCCCCTTGGAGACAAGCCATCGCCCAGCAGGACAGCACCGTCCTGGCCAGGTTTGGTCAGAGCCTGCCATGGCAGAGGCGGCCCCAGGGTGCAGAGTGGGGGAAAAGGAGCCAGTCACCGATGTGCTGCCCTGGATGGAGCCACGGCTTCGGGGCAAACTCGGCTCCAGTCCCCCTGAAGTCACCAGCAATATCTGTAGCTCAGGTGGCCTGAACTGTCATCACAGAAAAGCACATCCGAGCCTTGTGCCGTCTGGGCCCTGCACATTGGTTGTGTCACAAGGTGCGGTGACGGCTCGGGCTGGGTTCGGCTGTCCCACCGGGGACCATGGCAAGGCCTCTAACCTGTTCTGCACTTGCATCCTGTGGTAAAAAGGCCCCTGGGCTGAAATAGCATCTGTACCATGTTGAGACATTTAACACACATGATGTGCCTAATGTCACTCCACAACCGTCTGTCATTTGTGGCCACTGTTAGGAAGGAAGTGGTGATTCTGGCTTGCAGGAAATCCCTGTGGCAGTAGAAGGCAGCAGCCCGGCTGGACCCAGGGGTTCAAACGCGTCTCAGCGCTTCTTGGAGTTGATTATCAGGAAGATGGCAGGGTTTCCGTTAGTGACCTGTCCCTTTGTTTGCATTCACTCAGAAGACACGTGCTTCTGTCCATGGGTTTGTGGCCTGGGGGTGATGGCCTCCAGGCAGGGGCCAGACTGTCCCCCATTCTCGTACCCTGGCAGCTGTCTCCTCACCCGGTCTTGTCCTCCGTTTTTCTCCAGCACCAAGACACTGTCTCAGCCAGGTCCCGGAGGGAGAGTCTTCCCTGCTGTCTCGGCTTCTCAGCCTCCAGCAGGGCGTCACACCTCTGCCTCCGGTCCCCCTTCTGAGCTGCATCCAGCTGCATTGTGGAATGTCTCCATGTGGGCAGGGGGCTCAGCCTCTTTTCTGGAACACAAACCCAGACCTCGTTGTGAGTCAACTGCCTGCCAAGTCCCCTCCCAAATTCTGAAAGTGCTTTAATCAGAGCCAGACACCCCCAACCCTGATAACACGGTTCCAAATGCACCTGACTCCCTCGGCCCCTTAGCGTCCAGTTCCACGTGCAAGCTGAATTCCACGACCATGGTGACACAGGCTACCTCGTCGTTCTGGGCGGTTACTGTTCTGTTCCACAGGCATCCATGCCCTCCATCGTCCACAAGGGCCCAGCCCTGGGCCTTGGGAAGCCGGTGGTCTGGCTGGACAAGGAGCCAGAGCCCGAGGAGGGCAGAGGGGCCACGCGAGGGTCTAGGACGGAGCTGATGGGGGAACTGGCAATGGGGCAGGGAGCACGAGGAGGCGGGGCCAGAGGAGGGCTTGAGAAGGACCCGTGAGAGGACAGTGGGGGCCGGCTTGGCCAGGTTGATACAAGCACATGGAGAATAAGGCCAGGTGATCCACGGGGCCAAGGCAGGTGACTTCTGTCTTCGGAAAAGGCGGAGCCCCTCCCACGGCAGGAAAGGCTGCCTGATTGCACCCTGGGTGGCCGAGAAGGCTGGAGTCACCTCTCCTGGCTCTGTCCTGCTCCCAGCTTGGTCCCTAGAGCAAACCCCAAACCTGGAGTGAGGGACCAGCTTGTCACAGGGGGGGTGAGGCCCAGCTGCCTCAATGAGACCTCTGCCACAGATCTCTAGGGGAGCCCAGCCCAGCTGTCTGTGAACCCCCAGAGCTGGATGGTGGCTCTTGTTAAGCAGAGGGACAGACAGCTGAGAGGACTGCAGGCCTCCCCTCCCCCGTGCCCCTCCCTCTGTCCCCTTCCCACCAGCCCCCAGTGAGCCCCAGAAAAACAAGCCCTCACGCCTCCTCCCACCTCCCTACAAGAAACTTTTAAATGTACCAGACGCATCGACTGCATTAAACACGATGAATTTTTAAGGCATGAGTTGGCAGGGTTACCATGGCTGCCTCTGCCCTGAGGGGCACACTGCCGAGGATTGATTGAAATAAATAAAACAGATTTACAGTTTTCATACTTGGGAAGCAGAGAGTTGGAAGGGGAAGATAGGGAGGGGAGGGGCCGGATGCAGCGAAGCTCTGGAGCTTTCTGGACTTCAGCTGGGAGGCCACTCCCTCCCCTCCCATCCTGAGGTTGTGCTGACCCGAAAGCTGCTTTCTCTTTAAATTCCTAAAGCATCCCAGCTGCTGGGCAGGGAGGAAGGCAGGGGGGCCTTCCCTGTGGGAACAGCTCTGGGCCATCTCTGTATTTTTTGGCCTTGCTGTTAGCTTGCACTTGAGGTTTACTGGCCGTGAGACTCCAGGTGTCTCCCGGGAAAGTGCCCATGTCCCATGGCCTTGGACAGGGATGTGGACACCAGGCAGTAGCCAATGTAGAGAGGAGATGGAGGCCTGTCCCTCTGTGTGTGGAACTGGCCTGGTCAGGGCACCGCAGGCAGCCGGAGGTGAAGATGAAGGAAGGAGGCCCAGGCTGCAGGGAGAAGAACAAGGGACTGGGCAGGGGCCCCAGGGAGCCAGCCCTGCCCTCGAGCATAGGCCCCTGAGGTGCTTGCAGAGGGCCATGGAGTCCCCCCAACCCTGTGTTCTCAAAATCAGCAGCCAGCCCAGCCTCTGAGCTTCCGGGAGCCAGGACTATGTGCCTTGTCACCCTTAGGAGCCCCCCAACGTCCCCCCCGCAGAGCTGCCAGCGGCCTGCAAGGGAACATAGCGACCCCTGACCCCATCCCCCAGTGACACCACCCAGCAAGGAGCTGGGCTTGCAGGCTAGGTCCCAGCTGAGCCCGTGGAGCTGTGGGATTGGACCCACGGGGATAGGGGACGGGAGCTGCCCTCTGGTCCTGGTGCCAGACCACGGAGAAGCAGAGGCAGGAAGAACCGGGTGGGCAGTGCTGAGGGATGGTTCTGCAGAGTGTTTGGGGCAGATGGACCTTCTGTACCCGTTCGTGCGGCCCCGCCTGGCCACCTTCTGCCCAGCGAAGTCATCCAAACTCCTGCTTCTAGGGTGGCACCAGCCAGGCGCGACTGGGAAGGACTTGCCACATTGATTGCACTCGGGGCAGCAGGGTGGGCACGGGGGCAGTTGAAGCGCTGGGACACGCCCAGCTGGCCCGGACCTTGCCCGCTGAGGCTGCTTCTGAGTCCTTCGTTCGTCAGGGCAGGCGAGGGCTGGGTAGAGAGGGACTGTGTCAGTTGCAGCTGGGGATTGCCACGGGAGCAGCGGGCGCTGCAGCTCCATGCCCGTCTCTCGACGTTGGCATCTCCTTCCGCTCAGGAGGTTCGGAGACCACAGTGTCCCCACGGTTCTGCACGCTGCTGGTGGCCCCCTCGTTGGTGTAGTGAGCTTATTGTCTGGGGCAGTAGAGGACGTCAGAGTTCCTGGGAGGGGGTGATGGCTTTAGCCTCCACCATTTCCCCTTAAACTTCTCGAGTCCACATCCCTCTCCGCGAGCCTTGGGTCAGCCAGCCAGAAGGACAGGCTGTGCCCACCTAAGGCCCTGAAGGCCAGCGCTGCCAAGCCAGCTGTCATAGGGGCATTCTGGGGCCCTCAGGCCCTCTTCTCTTCCCCCCAGGCCGAGCACTCGCCCGCAGACCTCCCGGCCGTGGGTCAGATGCATCAGCTGCTGCTGCCCTTGGTCACTCTCTTAAGGAGGCCAGGCCTGAGGAAGGAGGGGTTAGGGGTGGCAGCTGCAGCGCCCAACAAGGGAGTTGGCCCAGTGCCCCCACCTTCAGGTGTCTCCGTGCTACAACCAGCGTGGGGCTGGCGGGGGCGGTGGGACCGTGGCATGCCCTTACTTGGTGACGAGAGCCAGAGGAAAGTCCCCAGAGGGAGCCGGTCTAAGTGTCTGGAGCTGACAGCCAGGGGACCTGGGAAGGATCGGCTGACAGTACAGCTGGGGGAGGCCGTTTCTGCCCTGGTGATGTCTCCAGTCCTGTTTTCAGAGGGTGCGGAGAAAAGGGTCGTGGGAAGAAGTCTTATGTCTTCCCCGAAGCCGCAGGGCAGCGTCCACATTCCCCAGGATGCAGTGCGGCGCGGCGCCAGCATGCCCTCCCCCAAGGAGGACACCCTCGCCAGCCATCAGCCCTTTAGGGCCACACCCACAGGGGATGTCCACGCAGTTGCTCTGCTGTTGTCTGCACATGGCCCGGGCTAGGGAGGAGATCAGAGTCCCCTTGTTCTCCACACCAAGGTTTGGCTTTGCCTGAGTTGATGGCCTGTTCAGTCCCTGGAGGAGAACCGTCGTGTGGCCCTTCCTCAAACCCAGGACAAGACAGAGAAGAGGGTGCAGGCTCCCATTGGCCTCCACCCGGGCCTTCTTCCTGCCTCTTCTCCTACCGTGGGGCATGACTGGCCTGTCTAGAACCACTGTGCAACAAGGCCAGCTGACGCCTCCCTCCTCTTACCAGCCCTGTCCCAGTTTCACCTGAAGCAGGGGCAGTGGTGGCTGCCAGGCGGGGTCTTAGAAGAGCAAATGCTACCATGGGCCACCCTGAGGCCTGTGGGCCATCCAGGGCACATGGTGACACTTGGCCGGTTGTGAGTGGTCAAAGGGAGAGTGACATGAAGGCTCACCCCAGCTTGCCAGATGGGGTTCAGACTGCCTTCCCGGCCCACGGCAGAGCAGGGGCGGGAGGGAAGCCAGAGCTACGTCCTTCCTTCTCTGGCCCCAGTGTGGACCTTGGCCTTGGCCTTTTGAGGCTACCCGAAAGAAGAGAATCTTTATGGGCAAGGCAGTGTCATCTCGTTTCTTAAGGGAGAGTGACAGCCCCCTCTCTTGGGCCACGGGGGGTCCAGAACATGCCAAGGACAGGTCACTCCCTTAAGAGCTCCTGGTACGTGGCAAAGGAAACAAAGAGAGGCTAGTCCTGCCCCCAGCATGAAACCAGACCCGGAAGGAGGGGACAGCTGTCCAGGCAACAGCAAGAGGCCCACGAGAGAGAAGCAGAACCACATCCATGGGGGCTCCAGGGTGCATGTGAGGAGCTGGTGGCGGCAGAGCCCCAGCTGGGGCCAGCAGCTTCACTGCCACCAAGTGAGGAGCTGTCCCTGAGTGAGGTCGTGTGGCCCTCCCTGCCGGCCTCTCACCAACCTCGCACATGCGTATATGGACCTGCCTCTGCCAGCCCCATGCACGGTGTGGGGGTTCCCTGTGCCCTCCCAGACTCAGGGTTCCTCCCAGCCCACGGGCTTTCCGGGCCTCGGTCTGGGGATGAACAGTGCATCCGCACGGGCGTTGGAAAGTTAGGATGCATGTGCGGGGCCGCGAGCTGTGTTCCGTCGTTGACGCTGCTTGGGAGCCAGGCAGGCAGTTCAAGCCCGGCTGGGGCTCAACAGAGAAGTGATGACGCAGCAGCCCTGCGAGGCAGCCATCTGCCAGCCCTCCACCCGGCAGGGACGGCCCCCGGTGCCCGCTGACAACAGGCAGTGAGGAGGCAGAGTGATGAGGAGGAACTGGGGTTCTGGGTCTGAATCCTCCATCCTACTCCCCTGGTCAGTTGTGTGATTGGCAGCATAGGTCCTCTCTGAACCTCAGAGTCCTCTTCTCTGGGGGTGATAATCATACTCCCTGCCCAGGTTGTGTGAGGACTCTGCAAGAAGCCACAGGAGGAGCTCAGAGCCCGGTGCCAGGCGCGTGGTAACCCTGAGGCCACCTGTGCAGGTTGAAGCGAAAGTGGGACCTCCTCCCCGACCCCTTGAGTCGGGAGGAGGTATCAGCATCCTGCTGAGGTTCCAGAGCTCTCTATGGTGTGGCCCAGCTGACCTACTCCCACTGTCTGTCCCCCCAGCTGCCTGGAACCGTGCCTTGCAGCTGAGAGCCCTCCGAGAGGGAGCTGCTGTTCTTACCCATCACCCCGGCCCGATCCAGGCGGGTGGGTGTGACACCCTCAGCCCAGTGCCTGGCATCCAGTGAGCAACTGACACTTGCACGATTCCTGTCTTCTTGAGGCGTCATGACCCAGCAGTCTGGAAGCTGCTTTCCTTCTCCCCAAACCTGGGGTGAGCTCGGGGTGAGGCAGGACGCAGCCCCCACCTCGCCCCCCTTCCTCGGTGGAGTCCCTGTCAGCCGCCAGCCCCAGAGCAGCCCCTCCAGGCTCTGCCCAGCAGCCTCCCGGGCAGGGCCAGCAGAAGCATCCAGAGCATGGAGGGCCCCAGCCGCTGCTCTTGGTGGGTGCCTGCTCCTAGCTTCTCCCCTCCCCTTCCGCGATGTTTTAATTAGCAGCGCTCAGGGGAGACTCTCGGTGTGAGGAAGCCCTGTGCGATGTGTTGTTGCCGAGCCTTTGGGCTGTCGTGCAAGCACACGCTCCAGAGTCCCCTGAGATGAGCCGGACTCCTGAAGCAGGGAAGAGAGCAGGGGAGTCTGGGCAGGGCAGGGCAGCCAGGCCTGCACTTGGCCTGGTGGGTGAGGTGGGTAAAAATGCAACATCACCGTGGCTGCTTTCTGCAGACCAGAGTATGCGTGGCGTGCACTGACCTGCCCGGGATGGACAGACGGGTTCCGCAGGTCTGCGGGCTCGTCCGGGAGACCTTCGATCCTTCACAGCAATGCCCAGCAGCGGGAACTGAGTAGCTGCTGAGTGCCAGCCCTCGCCTTGGCTTAGGGGATGGGTGACAAGAATCACAGCCAGGGCCCTGCCCTTTGCAGCTCTCTTTCTGGCAGGAGAAACAGATAGACCGGAAGCCAGTAAACAAGCACATCGCAGGATGGTGTCAGGTAGGGGCAGATGCCTGCACAGACGTGGGACTTGCTCTTAGCAGAAAGTGCACAGGCCTCGCCAGGACCTGAGGCCTCGATGTGCCCGGGAGGCAGATGCCCAGCGAGGCAGAGCTGGCCGGGCCAGGGCAGAGCAGGCCAAGCCCCTGGGACCGCGCAGGCTGGGCCAGGTCGAGAACAGAAGAAAAGCCCGAGAGGCGAGAACGTCGTGAGTGAAGGGGGGTCAGTAAGAGCTGAGGCTGGAGGGGAACCGACCAGAGCGTGTACGGTCTTGCAGCCCATGGCGAGGGGCTGGGCTTTATTTTAGATCCAGCAGGAAGCCGTCAACAAGTCCCAAGCAGGGGAGGAGTATGCTCTGGTTGGCACTTCTTAGGATTGCCCAGTGGGTGCGGGAGGGTGAACGGTGGGTGTAGAGAAGCAGCAGAGGACAAACCAGGAGACAAGTTGAGACCGATGAGCGGAAGTGCAGACGTTCTCCCAGGCGGTGGGGCTGCGACGGGGCAGGGTGTCCGAGCCGGGACGTGCTCTGAAGATGCAGTCCCCCGGGCCTACCAGCGACCCCCTTAGAGGGACTGGGCATCAGGAATGGCTCTTTGGTTTGGGCTTGAGCAGCTGGGCAGGCAGAAATGCCATTTACTGAGATTGGGGTGGGGGCGGGTGACACATCTACAGGGACACCTACAGGTGGGTGTCAGTAGGGATTGCCCTCAAACTTTGGTTTGAAAAGCAGCTGCCCCATCCAGAGGCCAGAGGGTCCTTGTGGCGGAAGAGCACATGTGGGAGTCCCTGATCTGTAGACAGCTTTGAATGCATCCGTGGGGCCAGAAACCACCAAGGGACACAGACTAGAGAGAGGAGCAGAAAGGCCACCCTGGCGTTAGCAGAGGAGACGGCAGCGAGGGGGGAGGAAACCCAGGAGAGGGTCTTGTTGCTGGTGGCAGAAGAGAAGAGTGACTCAGAAAATTTTGCTATCCCTGACCTTCCGTGGCACCGTCCGTGTTCCCCAGGTTCTCTGGGACACCAGGAGGTCTTGGCACCCGCCCCTCCTCGTCACCTGCCCCGTGCCTGTGCCTGTCCCTCCACACCCTCCGCAGCTGTCCTCTCGTGAGCACCGCCCCCACCCTCCGGCTGCCGCAGGTCCCCATGGGGCTGGCCCGGCCTGTGATCCCTGGAGAGCGCTGCCTGGCAGCGGCTCAGCTGTTGGCCTCTGTCATGGAGACGGCAGCAGCTGCAGGCGACGGGCACTTGTGACCATTTGTCAGAACGCTCCCCTTTCTCCCTCGCCTGCCCTTCTGGAACATTTCTGTCCCACAGCCCTGGAGACAGGGCTCATCCCAGGGTGGGAGGACCAGGAGGGGATGGGAAGCCTTGTCTGAGTTCAGCTGGGCCACCACCTCCCGGCCTCTGGCTTGAGGCAGCCTGGCCAGGCTTCCCTCCCATGGGCCAGGTGGGCCATGTCCCGGACACTGGGCCCCTCACACACATCATCCGCAATTTTCCCGGCTGGCCTCGGGGTGCTTCCCATCTTGCCGGAGGGATTGCCCCCAATTAGGAAGTGAAGAAATTGCCATGCAGTGACCTCGAGATCACACAGTTGGTGGTGGGGGCCCCCAGGCCAGAGGCATTTGCCCCCCACCTGACAACAGGGAGCCGCCAGGCAATGGCGGAGATGAAGTGACCCTGTGTTTGTGTGACACCACCACCCTCCCCGCACACTGCCCCCCGCCCCGCCTCAGCCCCGTTTCGATTTCTCCCAGGGTTTCTTGCCCGAGCCTGCTGGTTCCAGCCGGGGCCGAGCTGGAGACGGCCTGCCCACTGTTTGCGCTTCGTGGTTTGGCCTCTCCATTACCAAATGCGCTGGGATTTTTCCAGGGCCAAAGCTGGGGAGGAATCTTCTCTAGCCCGGCCCCAAAGCTATGGCCAGTATTCAGAGTCAGGCAGGAAGCGAGGCCCTGATAACGCCAAGTTTAGCACAAGGTCAGTGCTTGGTAGAAAGTGGACATGTTTCAGGCATGTTGCCTCAAAATGTGGCTCGTGTCACTCAGCACAGGGGGCCTCGAGGCCTCAGACCCCTTGTCTGGTCTGTGGTGATGCTTCCCTAGAGCAGAGACGAGGAATCAGGTGGGACTTTGGCCTCAGGCGGGAGGCCACAAAGGCAGGAGTGCCCTGCTCGCACCAGCCCCTACCAGACAGGAAGCACTGCACACACGTCACCCTCTCACCGGCCACTTGTCCCTTCTTGTCCAGCCCCTACCTGTTTCCTTCTCGGTTTGCAGGAAGCTTCTGGATCCCTGAGAGTCCTGGCAGGAAGTCCTGTCCCACCCCAGCGGGGAAGCCTCTGCCCAGGTGGCTTTCAGGGGTGCTCATGGCCTGAAGGCCAAGCCTCTGAGGGCACATGGCGAAGTGGGGTGGTCAGAGGCTTCCCCAGAGCCTGTCCTCGAGACCCACTTGTCACTCCTGACACCACCTTGCCCTAAGGACCCTGGAAAAACCACTTTTCCTCATTGCCTGGGTCCCCTGTTTCCCTTTTTTATAACATGGAGACTGTCACGTGGCTTTTCACAAAGTCGGATCCTTGTTCCCTCCAAGACTAGGTAGAGGAGAGACCGTGGGAGGAGTCGTGGCCCAGGGGGCAGTGGAGCCAGGCTCTGCCCAGGTAATCCTGCGACCTTGGTCACTCGCTTCTCCTCCCTGCCCCCGAGTGTCGTCATGATACAGGGAAGGGAAAACCCGAGGTCCTCGTGGGGTCTGTCCCACAAGTACCCACTGGGCCCCTGGCGCCTACAGGCGTCCCCAGGCAGGGCTGCCCCAGACCCTGACCTCAGGAGCTTTCCTGGGGAGGTGGGGGGACGGTAGATAGGTGAGCAGTGGTGGGGAAGTGGTCGCTACAGCCCAGCAGGGGGTGGGAGTGCCATGGCTGGGGGGGGGCATTGCTGACACAAGTGGGAGCTCAGGGCGGTGACGCAGGGGCCTGTCCATCATTGGCAACCAGGGACCCTGCCATTTCTCTTCATGGGAGGGGGTAGGGGGGTAACTATAGCCTGGGAAGCCAGGCCCAGCACCGCCCCCACCAGCCTCAGAGTCGGGGTTCCACACTGGCCCTCCAGAATGCTGAAAAGACCGCAGGAGGCTTCCCAAGCTGAGGCGCAGAGGTTTCCAGAGCACCCCAAGCCTGACCCCACCGTGCCTGCTTTCCAGGCAGCTCTGCCTCCTGCTCAACGCGGAGAACATCTTCCACTCGATGGCCGACATCCTGCTGCGGGAGGAGGACCTCAAGTTCGCGTCCACCATGGTGCACGCCCTCAATACCATCCTGCTCACCTCCACCGAGCTCTTCCAGCTGCGGAACCAGCTCAAGGACCTGAAGACTCTGGTACGCCCTGTCGGCTCTGCCCCCGTCCAGGTCTCTGCCCTCAGAAGGCTCTGTGCTCGCTCCAGGGCCATGTCCCCTCCCTGACTTCCCTGCGGCCTTGCCTTTGCCGCCCCTCGATACCCACCCCCACCCGGGCACTGCCCCCTCCCAAACAAGGCTCTGCTGGCTCTAGGCCCACCCCACTAGGGGATGCCCCCCTCCTGGGGTCAGACCTCCAGATCATAACCTCACCTGGGACTTGGGGGTTAGTTACTCTCCTTGCCCTTGTCTCCCACAGCTGGACACATCTGTCTTGTAAGGCACCTATTGTAAGCCAGGGTGTCGTGTTGCTGCCCGTCCCAGGCTTTGGGTGAGGACACACTGAGGGTTGGTCAGAGAGAGCAGGGCGACACTCACAACGCTGCCCGACTCAAGGAGAGATGCAGGGCAGAGGGTGGCGGGCTACCACAGGGCCTCCTCCCCCACAGCCCCTGCCCAGCAGACCACGCAGACCCTGCTCCACGCCCTCCCCACGAGTCCCGAGGACGTCCAAGCCCGTGTCTGAGAGTGATCCAGGCCACAGCCCTGCCCTCCTCCTGTGGTTCCTTCCAGACGTTCGCAGAGGCCTTAAGAATTTTCCTCAGGGGCAGGGGCTCCCCCAAGGGTGGTCTCAGCCCCTGGGCTGGCCGGCAGTGGGGAGGAGGTGGCATTTGAGGACAGAGAGGAGGACACCGCCCAGGAGAGCCTGGCCCCCGAGAAAGCTTCCTCCTACCCGCACCCCTCACCCTCCCAGCCCCAGCGCAGGGTTCTGGGGCGCACAATAACTGTCATTTTGCCGCGGGCAGTCTCGCCAGCACAAAGGAGAGGCTCGCTCCCAACCGGGCCCTCGCCACCACACGGCTCTGTGGGACCGGGAGGTAATGACAGGGTCTGAGGAGGAACTGTCAGCGTTTCCTTTGTGACAGCTAGTTCCCAGCTGGGCTGCCAAACACAGCTGGGGGTGCTGAGCTGGCTCCTGGCCCCTGTGGCCCTTCCCGCCATGGTCCCTCAAGGACCAGGCAGGGACGAAGCAGGGCTCTGCTAAGTGCTCGCACCTCTCCCCCTCAGGAGAGCCAGAACCTGTTCTGCTGCCTGTACCGCTCCTGGTGCCACAACCCGGTCACCACGGTGTCCCTCTGCTTCCTCACCCAGAACTACCAGCACGCCTACGACCTCATCCAGAAGTTGTATCCTTCCCTCACTGCTGTTCGGTGGGCCGCTGAGGGGCGGGAGGGGGCCGGGTGACCCCTCCACACCCAGTGGGGGACCTGGCAGCCATCCTCCTGCCCCACGTGTCTGCTCCCTTCCCAGGGCTGTGACATCAGGGCCACCTGGCCAGGGTGCTGTAGGGAATGTATTCAGGACAGCACCATTGGCAGTACACGGGCCTCCCTGGTGGGGGGGCAGGACTGGCCCTCAAAAAACCTCGTGTGTTGGGGTCAGGGCTGAGCAGGCCCAGCCTGGAGGGTGCTGGCAGGTGGTGCCAGGCCACCGGGTGAGGGCGAGCCCAGCTTCTGCCCCAGGGACAAGGCTGGTGTTGTCTGCTCGCTGCAGTTCCGCCGCCACCTTTGCGCCAGGCGCAGTGTGGGGCAGGGTGGGGTAGGGGGACCTGGGTGGGCACAGGCAAGACCTGCAGGCTCGAGCTCAGGACTGAGCCTTCGGGGGCCCAGAGCCAGAGCCGGGCAGGCTCAGCAAAGGACACGGTGAGGAGAAGCAGGCTGGGTGGAGAGGGGGTGGTCTCAGGAGGGGAAAGACCCACGCACACCTCAGCTCTCGCCCCCTCGAAAGGCACCAAGAAGCAGGCCTTCCTCCATGGGTGGCTGACAAGCGACCTGGGTGGAGCACTGTGTGGAAGGCCGTGAGGGGCCTCCATAGAGGGCTGGGTGTGGCTTGGCCTGGCCCCCATCAGGGTGTCCACCCTCCTTCCACGACCCAGATCTGCTCCTCTGGGCCACTTGAGTGACCCAAAGACTGTCTGGCCACCACCCAGCACACCTGCTGCAGCCCTGACATGGCCCTGCTGGGAGCAGGAGCCTTTCCTGCCCAGCCCTCCAGACAGGCTGCGGGGCTGAGTCATGGAGGGTGTAGACGAGACATCTGCAGGTCTAGAACCTGAGCACCCGTGCAGGGGGGTTCTATGTTGTAGAGGGGGAGAAAGACAGGCAGGAGAACGGGTTCATGTCCTCTGTCCACCAAATCCCGCTTATCGAGACCCAGGTCCCACACACAGGGAACCAGAGACCGGTGTGGAGGCCACGTGATGCTCTGGGCCAAGCCCCGGGCTCCAGCCTCTGCCACCTACTAGCAAGGCGTGGCCGGCCTGTCCCCAGCTCTGCAGCTGTGGCCATGCTGGCCCAGTGGTCAGACTGTCCTTGACTGCTCACCCAGCGGGGACCTGGAGGTCACTGTGGACTTCCTCACAGAAGTGGACAAGCTGGTGCAGCTGATTGAGTGCCCCATCTTCACATGTAAGAGTCCCGCGTGTGGCCTCGGGCCCAGCGTGAGCCTCTGGCCAGCCTGGAGTGAGGTAGAGCCAAGCTCAGGGCAGGGAGGGAAAGAGGGCAGTCACCAGGGGTGCTTCTGGAATGTCAAGAATGTAAAACTGGGATGACAGTCTGCTGAGAAACCAGCTGGAGCAGGGCTGGGGCATGTGGCAACAGAACATGGGTCCCACCTGTGTCCTTCCAGGTGGGTCTCAGGGACACAGGCCAGTGCTGACAGCAAAACCCACCTGAAGGCTACTACCAGGGCTGCCCAGGGCTGTCCCCAGCCCCTCCTCCAAGCCTGCTGCCCCGTGCCCTGGCTCTCTGAAGTTGTGGGCCTCCCCCCCACCCCCGCAGATGCCTGTTTGCCCAGGAGCCCTGCCCTCCCCTCGGACAGAGGAGCTGGCACCTGCTGAGGGCCGGTGGGCAGCAGCCGCCCGGCTAGTAACCCCTGGCGGAACGCAAACATGGCAGCTGGCTGGGCGTGCACCGCCCTTGGCGCCTCAACACACACGACGCCTGCTCCCCGAAGCAGCCACGCTCCAAGTGACACCCGTGTGTTTATAGCGTGCAGAGAGCTGGGAGGCAGCCCTGCCGGGGCTCCCTTCCCCGCCAAGCCGGCTGCCCAGGCCGCCCAATCTCCGGCAGCAGCTCTGACGCGCCCAGCCTGAGCCCCGGAGCCCAGAGTAAATGCAGGGGCCCAGGGACCCTCCGTCCCTCCCCTCGCTCCCACTCAGAGGGCCAGCTTCTCCCAGCAGCAGGGTACCATGGTGACTGATGCCCCAGAGACAGACGAGCAGGAGGGTGACCCTGTTCTCAGCAGAGAGCACCCAAGCCTGCCCCAGATGTGCCTGATGTCTCACCTCCCCCAGAGCCTCCCGGGGCAGACAGGTGCCCACTCACCCCGCCGAAGTCAAGTCCAACCTCACCCTAGAGGAGCCCCGAGCCCTTTCTCCTCAGGCCCAGGGCTTTGCTGGGGAAGGGTGATGCTAGGAGAACGCACCCCTGGCCTCTTCCCAGCACCTGTTCCAACCCTGAGTTGTCTGGAGCCTGGTGGTGGCTGGCTTGGCCACAGGAAGTCCTAGGTTCCCCAAGGCCCAAAGGGGAGAAAGGACTCTAGACAGGCCCCCTTCTGCTGGAGTGGCTGGGCCTGGGGACAACAGTGTGGAGCTCCCCCACAGGTGGCTCCTGCCTCTTGGAGAAGAGGCTCCAGTCCCAGCTTCCTGGCCCCAAGGCCTGGCTGCTTCTGGGGACACATGGCCAGTCCAGAGGTGTAGCTCACCCTCCACAAAAGATGCAGGACAGGGGCTGGAGACACGGACGGTAGAAGCCAGGGGTTCTCCGGAAGACTCAGGAGAGCAGTGAGAGCCCGTTTTGAGTCCTGACTCCCCATGGGCCTTGGGTGGGGGCAGCCGCCAGCAGGGTCCATGCAACTTGGGCAGGACAGGGTGCTGGGCGGAGACCCGGGTGCTGGGTGGAGACCCCTAGGGTGGGGTAGGGCTGGGGTCTGAGCCGGAGATCCAAAAGCACCTCCTAGACACGCGGGGGCTTTGGTGTGTGTCACACTACACACAAAAGCGTTTTTCCATCCTGCCCTCGCTAAAAGCTGTCCTAATCCTCCGTCTTTCTCTCCAGCACACCCTATTTATAGCTCTCTTGTGCTGGCACGTGCAGAGCCGACCGGGGAATCTGTTACGCTACGAGCCACGAGCCCTCGTTACCGGGGAGGCAGCTGGGCCTGGGGGGCAGGGGAGTGGGCCAGGCCCAGCAGCGGGTCCAGGGGTCACCGGGCTGGGGTGCCTGTTGGAAAGATCAGACAGACGGGCAGGTGGGTAGCAAGGAGGAAAGATGAGATCATGGAAACAGCTAAGACACTCCTGAAGGAGGAGGGGGCAGGCTGGGCTGGCCGGGAAGGAGCCCCTGCCTCGCTCCAAAGCCACGGGCGCCTGGCTGGCCCCACACAGCTGGGTGCTCAGGCTGTGGGTGCCACTGCGCTGGTGGCCCCAGCCAGGCTGAGGCAGGGGCTCCGGGCTGGGTGTGTTCCAGAACAGTGCCAGGCCCCTGACCCTTGCCTCTTGCCCTCTGCCCCCACAGATCTGCGCCTGCAGCTGCTGGATGTGAAGAACAACCCCTACCTGATCAAGGCGCTGTACGGGCTGCTCATGCTGCTGCCCCAGAGCAGCGCCTTCCAGCTGCTCTCGCACCGGCTGCAGTGCGTGCCTAACCCCGAGCTGCTGCAGACCGAGTGAGTGCGGCCCTGCCCCACCCCCGAGGGGGCTCCTGCCACCCAGCAGGGCCCTGGCCCAGGAGCCTGGGGAGGAAGGGGCGTCTGAGGATCTGCCAAGGTCCCCTTGCCTGAGCTCCCACCCCTTTTGTCACTGCAGCTACCGTCTAGCCCGCAGCCACTTGCCCTTCGGCCTCGTGTCCACGTCAGGGCACTCGGCAGGGGCTTACGTACAAGGCCATAGGTAGTAGCCGTACCTGCTCCAAGCAGTCAGCGTGGAGCCTAGTGAGGACCGGACGAAACCTACTAACTCAAGGGGCGTCTCAGTGTTCCTGCCCCAGCTTAGAGATGGGGCCCTGGTGGCTGCCGAGCAAGAGAGCAAGAGAGGGCCTGCTCCAGGCGTCTCCCAGGCCCCAGACAGCCCTCCCCACCGTGGCTGTGGCAGACTCAACTTGGGGGCGTTGGGAGACCCCAGCACTCCTGGGACCTTCCCAAGCCTCTGCTGGGTGGGTGGCAGGCAGGGGTGTACCCGGGGCTCCCCTGCTCCAGTTCTGTCCCCTGGAAGAACAGGGCCCAGGCACACCTCCACCGAGAGGCCCCGCTCAGCAGCCTCTGGACAGGGGCCCGGGCCCCCACCCTGCACCCAGTGCAGCCCCTGCCCCTGAGCCTGTCGGGCTGTGTCTATATTTGGTAACCCTCGGAGGCTTTGCCTCATCCACAGGCATTTGGCATCCGAGATGGAAAATTTCACTTGTCAGGTCGCCATGGAAACGAGCAGAGCCACTGAGAAGATTTACGCTGAATGGAGCGCGCCCAGCTTGCATCAGATGCCCTGTGTGTCTAGAATTCCCTCCCAGGCCGTTAGAGCCGCTCAGCAGGCCTGGCGCCTGGGCCTCAGGCGTTTGCCCTCAGGGCGGACGCAGGCAGCCCTCAGCTGGGCCCGCCCGGCACTCACGGCCCCTGAAGGGAGCCCGTGTGCCCTCCACACCAGTGGGCTTTGCTCCTGCCACCCTGCCCACCTGGCCTGGCCCCCTGAGGCACCTGTTGGTTGTCAGCCCCAGGCCGGCTAGAGAGGCTGAGCCCCAGCAGGTGTGGCCCCCACCGAGGCCCAGCGCCTGCCTTCCCTGCCCCTCTCTCCGGACGGCAGTGCTCCAGGTGGCAGGACTGGGCTTTGTGCCGCCGCCGTCCCAGCTGCTCAGGGTGCCACCCAGGTAATCCCCAGGAGACAGCATTCAGCACACGGAGTGGCCCAGGGGAGCAGGGAGGCAGCCATTCAGATCCCCTCGGCCACAAAGAAGCCCTGAAGCCACACTACGTGTCACTAGCCTGGTCTCTTGTGTTGGCCTTTGTAGCACCATGTGGGTGTTAGGGTCGCCCTGGCAGACACTTAGGAGCGGAAGGTACAGCCAGAAGCGGGGCGATGGGGGGGGAGCAGGAAGCAGGGAGGGCTGCTCACCTGTGACCCTGGTTCCCCCATGGGAACCAGCCTTCCTAGGAGAGGTCTCTCAGCCAGGTGGCAGGTCCTGTGCCGCTAGGAGTCAGTGCCACTGTCGGGGATCTGCATGCTGCATCTCTGCATCTGGGGGGTGGAGGCTCAGAGTTGGACCCCTGCCTGCACTCTGCAAGCCAGGGTAGCCCATTTGCAGAGGGAAGCTGGGAGAATGAGGATCTCCTTGGCATCACCCACGGTCAGAGTCAGGGAAGTCCTGAGCAAGGGACAGAGGCCTCTAGGTGGAGGATTCTATGGGGCAGTGGATGGTCTGCAGGCCTCGTGTCAGATCTGGTCCGAGTTCTGTGGTGGATTTGCTGTGTGACCTCAGGCAAGCCCCGTGCCCTCTCCGGGCTCTTGGTTTCTTCAGTAAATGCACATTTGGACTAAAGGGGTATGTGAGGCACTTCCCAGCCCTCAAGGCCTTAGGTTCCCAGCCTTTCTTTGCAAAGACCTGGGAGGAGATATCACAGATATGGCAGTGGGAAGGAAGGCCTCAGGCACAAGCTGGGGGAGGGGTCAGATTGCAGGGTTGGGACAGACGGACAGCCCCAGCCTGGGGGGGCAGGCAGCTGGCAGCCAGTGCCCAGTTGGCTGACAGGCCTGCGAGCCGGGAACAGCTGGGACAGCTCCTGTGCTCCTCGGCTGTCCCACATTGTGTGTGCTCAAGGCTCTGCAGGGTGTGGGACCACGCCCCGCCAGGCTTCTGGGCGACTCCCCAGGGACCCTCTCTCCCTGAGGCAGGAGGGAACTCTGACGGAAAAGGCTGGGTGACAGGGTGTGGGTGGGTGGCAGCACGAGAAGACTGGCCCTGGGTTCTGGAATCCCGGCTCTGCGACGGGGCTGGAGGTCCTCTGTCCTCGGTGCCCGGGGGTGGTTGTAAACGTAGAGGCTTCGGAAGGGCTGAGCAGCGGCCATGCCCATTAGCACGGACGGGGGAAGAGAGCCCTGGCCTGCCAGGCTTCAGGACCCAGGCAGGCGCCTCCTAGCACTGTGGGACACATCTTTCCCTGCTCCTAAGACTCAGGCCGGAAGGTCTGGCCGGTCCCTGGAGCAGGACGCGGCCCACTCCTCCTCTGTCCCACTCTGCCCTGATGTGTGCAATCAGCCGGAAACCCCTAATCTCCCTGGCCAACCAGTGCCCTGGTCCCCAGGAGTCCGTGGCGACCAGCGCACAGCGCATGGCACCCAGGCTCAGAGAAGTCCCCATCTGGGTCGCCTCAGTAGGTTAGGGGAGCATTGCCACAGCATAGACTCTGAAGGCCCAGGTGCTCTCCTGGCCACTGGCTTAGTCTGCCAGGGGGTCCCGCCCCATTCCCAGAACATTGAAGCAGCAGCCAAGCCCAGACGCTGCCCACAGCCCGGCCCTGTGTGGGCCCACCAGCTGCTTTCCTCTTTGTTGGAGCTGATGGTGACTGAGCCCACTCGGAGGCAGGTGAAGAATCAGCCACAGACACCGCCGACCAGAGGTTTTCGGCTGGCGCATCTTCGGCAGGAGGCGGAAGGGAGAGCGGTGGTGGGAGGCGGGCTGAGCAGGCTGGGCTCCGGAGGTAAGATTCTCAGCTGAGGCAGGAGTTGCTGCCACTGGTCATGACACCGGCAGCACTCTGGCCGTCAGAGCTGCCTGGCAGCTCTGGCCTTTGGGTTCTCCGTGATGGCAGAGCTATATATGTTGAGGTTCCATTGGAGGGGCAGCCCACCTGTTCCCCTCAATGCGGCAACCGCCCCGATGCAGCAAAGCCACGAAGCTGCTGGGCCCTGGGCCGCGCTCAGCACGTGAGGAGCAGGTCATCGTCAGCACGGTGGGCCACCTGATTGGTCCCTAGGCTGAGGTCCTGGGCACCCAGGCTGAGCTCTTAGAACACGTTGGAGGAATCCTTACAACCACCGTCAGTGGGTGACTCCTGTAGGAGCCTCCCGCATTTACAGATGAGAAACTGAGGTCACATGCCATCGTCAGGTGGCCAAGAAGGAATCATGTATGGTGATCCGAGATCTGTCTAGCTCCTAGTGCATCAGCTACTGCTTGGAACCCCCAATTTGGGTCTTTTCGTGGTTACAGAGGTCCTCAGGTCGAAATCAACAGGGAGAAAGAAGAAATAACAGAAAAAAAGAAAAATAAAAAAGACGCTTAGCTGAGCAGCCAATGGTCTCCATGAGACCCAAACTTCCCGGCCCACATAGATCTGTTCTCAAGCCAGAGAGGCCAGGGTGAGGAGGAGTCTGAGACTCCGCCAGAGCGCGGTGGAGGAATGGGACAGCAGCCGCAGGGGACCTGGTGCCCAGAGCAAGCTAAGCACTGGGGTTGAATTGTCCCCGCACAGCTATGGGAGCATCGTCCACGTGTAGCTGCCACTGCACAACTGTGTCCGGGGCACCCGGGGAGGGGAGGGTGGTAGCAGCAGGAGCGTAGGAGCTGTCAGTGTGTCCAGGGGAGAGACCAGCTCCCCTTCCCCAAGGACAAGAAGCAACTGCAGGGCCAGGGCCTCAGCACTCAAAAACAAGTGTCCTACCAAATTGAGGGCTCAGCAGAGACTCTTAAGTGATGCGTGTTGTCCCCAGCCCTAGCCCTGCCCCAGAGAAAGGGCCAGGCTGCCCCTCCCCCTTGTCCCAGACCCTGTTCCAGGCCCAGCTGGCTTCCTGGCTGGCTGCTGGCCCTGGCTTTCACCCCAAAGGGAGCCACTGGTAAACAGGAAATGCTTCCCAATGCGATGCCTGCTCTGGGCGCTGTCGCCAGCCCGCAGGCTGAGGGCGATATCCAAGCGGCAGTGCTGGCTGTTCCCACCAGTGGGGGGTGTGCTTATGGGGTGCCCCAGCTGTCCGGGGCTGGCTGCTGGGGAGGGCTGCCAGGCATGAGGCAGACTCCCAGAGGCTGAGCCCCACAGACCCCTGCAGTCCCCACCTGAGCCGATCCCTAACGCCAAGCCCTTCTGTTTCCTCCTCCCAGAGCCGGTCTGAAGGCAGCCCCCAAGTCGCAGAAGGCCGACACCCCCAGCATCGACTACGCAGAGCTGCTGCAGCACTTTGAGAAGGTCCAGAACAAACACCTGGAAGTGAGGCACCAGCGGACTGGGCGTGGGGACCCCCTGGACCGGAGGGTCGTCCTCTGACAGTGCTGGCATGGAAAAGGACCCAACGAGTGGTCCCATGAAGCACTCAGGGTCTTCAGGACCCCCCAACCCCAGGAGCCTGAGGACCTGCCTCTCAGGGCCAAGGCTGGGCCTGACCACCAGCCCAGGGTGGGGGTGGGGGGCGGCCAGAGGCTGTTCTGTCCACCCAAGCTCCTCTCAGGGCCCAGGCCCCCAGTGCCATCAGCTGCACCCTGGCACTCAGAGCTGGCTGCCCACCCGGTGGGGTGGGAGGGGCACAGCCTCAGATGCCACCCATCCCCTGGAATCAGTCTTTTTCTGATACTCTTCTTGGAAAAAGGTCTTGAACTCCCCAGCCCAGCAGAGCTCTGGCCTTGTGTGTATATGTGTATACATATGTGAACATGTGTGTGTACATACGTGTGTACATACTTGTATGCACATAGGGACCAGCACAAAGATCTCCACTGAATGATGCACCCCACCCCACCCCAATAAAGGAATAACAGAAAACCCTTAACTCGAACCTGCCTGATCTTTCTCTGTGGTCTCATGGTAGCCCCAGGAAGTCCTAGCTGTACCCAAGGGCCTGGGGCCCAGCTCTCCACTGTGAAGACCCTTCTTCCTCGAGAGCACCAGGCACCGGCCTGCCCTGGGACCCTGGACCCTGTCTTCCCCAGCCCCTAATCTGACTCCCATGAGTCCTTGGGCAGTAGGACGTCCCCCCAGAGGGAGCCAAGCCTCAGGAGTTCCCGGGTGAAAGGGGACTTGCACACTGCAGAACACTTCGCAGATCACTGGGCAACAGAAAGCCCCAGAGAGCAGTGTGGGGAGGGACAGATGCCCCAACCCTTGCTTTGGCCGAAAGAGCGCTGCCTCACCCACACCTGTAGGCCAGGTCAGCTGTGCCCACGTTAGGCTTATTTATCCCCCTTGAGTCCCAAGCAGCTCCTGCGGCCCCTGGAGTGGGAGGGAAGGAGCTTGTTCCTGCTTTGCCCCAGAGCCCCAGCATGGGGCTGCCCCTACGGTATGGGTTTCGGTGCCTGGAGCCCCCAGGACTACAGGCTGTATTTGCCATCACCCACATGCACTTGAGTGCGTCCCCACACATGTATACCCAGGCATCAGAGACTAGGAACAATTCACCCCTGCTCTGCTGGTCTGACACAGACCCCCACCCACTAGGAAAGAAGTTGTTCAAGGGTCAGGAGGAGACCACCCTGGTCAAAAGCCTGGCCTCGGTCACCCCATCAGGGAGGCATGGGCACTGCTTGGAAAGGGAGCCAAAGAACTGGAGGAGGGTCCGTGTCTCGCGTGAAACGTCCCTAGGTAGGCGGCCCGGTGACACCCTGCCCCTGCTCTGTGCTGTGCCCGGTGGAATGAACCGGCGGCATGTGCTGCCCACCGCCCCGAGACCAAAGGCCGGGAGGTGGCGTCGAGCCCCCAGCCGTGGCGCCGCGACCCAAGCCGCCATCCACTCCCGCGTGGGCAGGGCGGGCCCCGCCCCAGCGCCGCCCCGGACGCGCGGTGGCGCCCGCGCCCCCCGGCCCCGCTCGCCCGACCAGTCTGGCAGCGCCGGGCTCGGATTTCAAAGCCGCTAGCTGGCCGCGAACGGGCCTGCGCCCGCCGGCCTTTCCCACAACCCCCCCGCGGCGCCTCGCCGGCCTCCGCGCCCCACGTGACGCGCGCCTCGGCGGCTCGGATTACCGCCGCCGCGCCAGTCCCCGCGCCGGGCCGCGCCGCCAGCTGCCGCCCGCGCCCCGCGCCGCCCGCTGCCCGCCGCGACATGGCCGCGCCGCCCGCCGCAGGCCGCGACCCCCGAGCGCGGCGCGGCCGGCCGCTGAGCGCGGCCCGGAGGCGGAGGCCGGCGCGGCCTCGGAGCGAGCGCCCGCCGCGGCCCGGCCCCTCCCGCGCGCCCGCGCCCGGAGCGCCGCCGCCGCCCGGCCCTAGCATGGAGACGGCGGAGAAGGAGTGCGGCGCCCTGGGCGGGCTCTTCCAGGCCATTGTCAACGACATGAAGGTAACGGGGCGCGGCGGGGCCGGGCGCGCGGTGCGGGCGTGTGTCCCCCCGGGGGCGCGTGGCGGCGGGCGGCCGTGCCCCGCTGTGGCCGCGCGCCGCGGCGTCTGCGTGTCCTTGTCTGAGCGTGTCCTGCCCGCGTCTGCTGTGCGCCCGCGTCTCCGGGTGCCCGTCTGGGGGTTTGGGTGCTCGTGGGTCCGGGTGTCCGTGCGGTGCCCAGGGTCGCCTGCGGGGTTCCGAACCGAGCCTGCGCACACGCGGGCTCCTCGTGCCCCAGACCCGCAGCCCGAGAGGGAGGTTTGGCTCCAGCCCTTTAAGGGGTTCGGGGTCTCACCAGCCTCCACCCCGTTCCACCACCATGCCCCCCCACACCCCTGTCCCGGTCGCCCCAGAGCCCAGACAATACTGTCACCGCCAAAGCTGGAAAAAATAATAAAGGGGAGAACCGTTAACTCCTTCCCCGCCGGCGCGCGTCTGCGCCCGCCTGACCCTGAGACTGCCGCCCCCAGCCCCGCCCCCCCAAACAAGCCCCGGGAAGCCCAGACGCCGGGGTCTGGGGTCTCCAGGCTGAGTGTCTCTGCCTCCCAAGGCTAAGGCCTTTGCCGTCACCTTGGGAGGAGGCAGGGAGAAGGTTGGGGTTGGAGGAACAACCTCTGGGCGCGTTTCCCACACCATTCCCGGCCCAAGCTCCACTCCGCCACCCCTGTGGTTGCCCAAGGTCAGGCTGAAGCAGGCCACCGATTCCTGGCTCACCTCACCAGGTGGGGAAACTGAGGCCTGGGAATGGTTCAAGGTCATTAAGGAGACTGTTTCACCCTGCGTCTGACGGCAGCCCTCACTGTTCATCCTGGGGGTTAGGGGGACCCTCTCCCCCAAAGAGGCCAGGGCTGCCCCAGGCTAACTAGGCAGGGAGGGCCCAGCTCCAGGACCCAGCATTCCTGCCCGTCTCCTCTGCCCCTTCCTTAGTCTAGGATGAAGGGGCAGGATTGAGGGGACAGGAGGAGCAAGGGACAGAACTGGGACTGTGCTCCCCACAGGAACTCCTGAGGGCACCCCCGCCCTAGCCCTGCACAAACGCGCCAAGTGTACAACACAGAATCCCACTGGGGGGGCGAGGGGGACACCACAGTGTTAGGACAGCCCCTGTGAGGTCGGGGCTGCCAGGGGGACAGCCACAGGGGCAGCTGCCAGATCCTGCCCCCCAGGAAGAGGCCTGAAGCCAGCCAGCCCGGGACTACCCAGGTAGCAGCATGGAGCATAGCACTCCCTCCTTACGTCGCTTCCCAGGGACTCAAACCCCTGTACTTCCATGTGCAGGCCCTTTAGCTGGCCCCAAGCAGCCCCACCTGCGCTGTGGACGCCCCAGCCCCAGGATCCCATTCCGGGACTGGGCTGCCCAGACCACCCTCCCCTCCCCCAGCACTCCCAGGGCTGGCTGAGGGTGGCGCCTTCCCCCGGCCCACCCGCAGCCTCTTAGCTGCCACTGCAGGGAGCAGCAGCTTTTGCTTGGAGAGCAGGACCGGGACCATTGCCCTCCCTCTTTCCTGCCAGCTTGCAAGGAACTTTGGGATGAGACAGAAAGAAATTGGGCCCAGATAGTAGCAAGATTTTTGGGCTAGAGATTTTCTGACATTCGGAAGCAAAACCGGAGAGGTTTGAATTGGGGTCATGCCAAGTGCAGATACGTCCCTACCTATGACACATGCCTGTGTTCAGGGGCCCTGGCTAAGGGCAGAGAAAGGGACTGGGCCACCTGGAGACTGACCACCTGGATTTGGGGGCCAGCTTCTCCGTGGCCTGAGCCGCAGAGGAAGCAGGGCTTCAGAGGCGGAGGGGGCCTTTAGCCAGCTGGCCCATGGGGCTGCCCCACAGCGCATGCACACGCCCTACGACAGCCCTCCCTGGGGCCTGTAGGAGACCCTGAGCCGGGAGGCACAGAGGGGAGAAGGGGCTCCCCAGGCCATACCTGGGGCCTAAATGGCCTGGAGAAGACACCAGCTAGGGAGCCGGGAGCCTGCAGGAGCCTTCACTGCCTTGTGCGCCTCGCACACCTGGGCCAGGTTCCCACCCATGTCGGGCTGCCCACTGACGCCCAGGGGGGGCAGGGACCCGCCCATGGGGATAGGGCACAGCCCCTTCAGCAACGGGAATGGCACCTCCACCCAGCACTGGCCCATCCAGAAAATGGGGTGGTCATCTTTGTCTGTGCCCCCAAGAGTGGGGAGCGTCACCAGACACATGAGCCCTGGCCAGGCCTCTGTGGGGGGCTCCTGGCCAAGGGACAGGGCCTGTGTCCTCTCTTGCAGCCAGCACTGACTGGGCCTTACTGGGCATGGGCCCTGTGCCAGGCGCCCTCCACGCAGGGCCTCCTGGAGTCCCCACACTGACCCCGTGAGGCGGGTCCAGTCCTGTGAAGACTCTGAGGCCGCGGGAGCCCTGGCCCAGGGCCACCGGGAAAGGCCACTCTCCGGGCCAGAGCCTGCGTTGCTTGCCCGCACCCCACATCTGAACCACAGCCGCTGCCAGACTGGGAAGGACCCCCGTCAGTCTCATCCCCGTCCGCTTGGACACCTTAGTGACAAGCCCCCACCTCCCGCTTCAGAGAAGCCACTGCTTGGGGCAGAGCTGGCTGGCCCAGACCCTGCCACCTCCCCAGCCTTGAGGCTCAGGTGCTCATGTCTCTGCTCATCAGAGGGTCCCTCTACCTGACATTAGTGACCAGACATAGGATCAGATCCTCACCTGGCCATGCTGTGGCTTTGGCAAGTCAGCTAACCTCCGTGGGCCTCAGTTTCCCCATCTGTAACACAGGGGCAGCAATAGTATTCCTCTCCTGGGCCCAGGTGAAGGCTGAGGTCATTCTTCCTGAGGACTGGCTGCTCTGTCCCTCAACCCCCTGCCTCTGGGGTCCCACGTGGATCACTTCTGGAAGGCGGTAGAGTCCCAGGTCCTCAGAGGCTGAGGCGCGTAGTTCCAGCTGTCCAGGGGAGGCTGGGCCTGGCCCCTGTGCCCCATCGCGTCTCCGCCCCACTGGAGAGCCCTTAATCTGAGCCTGCCCAGGGGCTGCTGAGGGGGCTAAGGAGGTTTCCTGGGGGCTAGAACAGCTGGCTCTGGACCCCCACACACACCCGCACTCCTAGGGGCTTCTCTGCTCCCTGGAGGGAGGCCTTAGCAGGGCTTCAAGGCTGGGTGGGGAACGGGGTCCGAGTGGTGGGAGGACGCCCCCTTTCAGAAGACCCTTGGGGTTCCCCAGGCACAGGGGTCAGCCCCTCAGGACTGCTAGGGATGGCCTCCCGGGCCCCTCTCCCCTGAGCTGTGCCCGCGTGGGGACAGCCCACCCACAGCCTCCCGGTCTTGCTCCAGCCTCTGGGCACTTCCCAAATATTTGCTTTCCCTGGACACTGGCTGGGCTGGGCTCAAAGGGGAGAGAGGTGCGGAAGCTGCTGTCCCCTCGCCACCCCTGCAAGCTCTCCTCGCCTGGAGAAGCCAGCCAGGCCCACCCTGGGTCCCAGCCGGGGTCTGTGCCATCCCTTTCCTCGGGAAAAGCCCCACCCCACAGTCCCCATCCTGTGGGGGGGGAGCAGCAGCCCCTTCGGGTGGGGGCTTGGCTGGCCCAGGGCTCCCCTTCAAGGACCAAAGCCTCCACAGGGCCCTCGGGCCAGGCCCCCGCAGCCATGGGGTGAGCGCATTAGCCAGAAAAGCCCCTTCATCAGACGGGACAGCTTGGTCGCCAGGAGCCCGACCTCCCTCCTGGGAAACCCCCTCCCAACTTGGAGCCTCGGGCCAGGCTGGGATAAAGGCCACACTGTTCCCCCAGGAGGGGAGGGGCGCAGGGGGTGGAGAAAGGTGGCTCTGTTGGCCGCACAAGGCCCCATTCAGCCGGGGCCTGGTTGTCCCGGACAGGCTGGCCCGGGCCTGGGAGCCACTGCTGCTGGCCTGGGCTGGCCGGCCAGCCGGCTGCACCCAGGGTGCAGGGTATGGGGCAGTGGCTCCCGGAGGCCCCAGTTTGGACTGGGTGTGCCTCACACCCTGCCAGCCTCCACACTGTGCCTCTGCCCCCCAGGCAGGTGGGCTGGTCAGCTGCCACCGTCCCAGGTGTGTGTCTGGGAAACATGGTGCCCTCGTGGGACTCTGCCCAGATTACTGCCAGGCCCCTGGGAAACCCTGAGGAGACAGAACCTGCCATTGGCTGCTCTGTCTCCCTGAGGAAGGACAGGGGCCGAAACGGTCACCTGCTGTAGACAGTAGGACGGACTTCCCGACTTTCAGTAAAGCAAGGATGGGCCCTCCTCAGGCCTGGTGGCTCTGTCCTAGGTCCTCTCTCCTCCAGAGGGCCCGGAGTCCCTCTCTGCAGGGACAGGGCCACTCTCCCAGAAACTGGCAGAGTCTGGACGAGGCATGTGGGAGCCCAGGGCAGGGGGAGCCCTGCAGCCCCCAGGGCTACCCTCATCTCCGTCTCCCTGCAGAGCTCCTACCCCATCTGGGAGGACTTCAACTCCAAGGCCACAAAGCTGCATTCCCAGCTGAGGTGAGGCTGTCAGGGTGCCCCAGCTGGGGAGGGGCAGGTAGGGGAGGGGGAACGTCCCACCCACTGGCGATCCACGCCACTGTCCGTCTCCCCAGGACCACTGTGCTGGCTGCTGTGGCCTTCTTGGATGCCTTCCAGAAAGTGGCTGACATGGCCACCAACACCCGAGGTGGGCAGGGGCGAGGCTGGGGCTTGGGGACACCCCAAGGTGGGCTCGGAGCATGTTAAGTCTGAGTAGGGTATGGGCCAGGGAGAGGACCAGGCCCTGAGGCTGCTGCCTAGTGGAATGGGCTGCTTATGGAGAGAGTGAGCCCCTCGTCACAGGAGGCATGCAAGCAGGAGGGGGTGAGTGGTGATGGGGATGCTACATGCGGCTTCCCTTCTTGCCGTGGGCATCTGGCTTGACCCCTCAGTCCCAGTTCGGGCTTCTGGGCAGCGAGTCTGTGACAGCTTGTTGGCACCCATCTCCCTGCGCCCTTCTGAGAGCATGCGGTGGGGGGGGCAGGTGAGCGCTCCATCCTCCGTGGGGTGTGACGCGTCCTCTGGTCATGATAGCAGAGACCTGGGGCTCCTGCTCCTCCGGTCCTTGGGCATGTGCTGGCTCTCTCACCTGGGCACACCTGGACAAGGTTCCCCAAGGGGCTGGAGGGGGATTTGGGTAGCGTGCCTTGGACAGTCGTTGGCGCCGGCCTCTCCCAGCTGGGAGAGAGGGGAGGCTGCTGGCCTGCCCAGGAGGAGACCGGCGTGGCCGGGATGGCCAGGGCCTTGGTACAGAGGAGCGGCTCAGGAAGGATCGAGGAGGATCAAGTCCCCGCTGTGCGCAGCGGGATCGCGGGCTCGGCCTTCGCGGGCCGTGCGCCCCCTCGTGGCCTGAGGCGGGACTGCGGAGCCCCGGCGGGCCCCGTCTCACGCCGCGCGCTTGCCTCGCCAGGGGCCACGCGGGACATCGGCTCGGCGCTCACGCGCATGTGCATGCGCCACCGCAGCATCGAGACCAAGCTGCGGCAGTTCACCAAGTGAGTGGGCCCGTGGGCGGGTGGGGGACGCTGGCGGGGTCCCCGGGCTGCCCTGGCTGAGCTGACCCGCGCGCCCCCCCCTGCAGCGCGCTGCTGGAGAGCCTCATCAACCCGCTGCAGGAGCGCATCGAGGACTGGAAGAAGTCGGCCAACCAGCTGGACAAGGACCACGCGAAAGGTGGGCGGGGCTTTGCTGGCCTTCCCGCCCCACCCCCCACCCCACTGCGTGGGAACCCCCAGTAGAGCACTCCCCTCTCCCCCTCTGCGCAGAGTACAAGCGGGCTCGGCACGAGATCAAGAAGAAGTCCTCCGACACGCTGAAGCTGCAGAAGAAGGCGCGCAAAGGTGGGGCCCGCGCCTGCCCCTGTCACTGCCCCACAGGCCCCCTCCACGGCCCCTGGGGCTCCCCAGGCATCTTCCTGGCTGCAGGGGCTCCATCCCCAACAAAGGCCCCTCCAACCTGTTGGGTGGGACAGAGGGGGCTGCCCTGCACCCCAGACCCAGCCGAGTTCCTCCCCCAGGGAGGCCATGGCAGGCCCAAGAGGCGCAGGCACGCCCCCAGGAGTGGCTCTGTCCATCCGGCTGTCTTTCACACATTCTCTCTTTCTCTGTCTCTCCTCTCCTCCTCCCACATCTTTCCTGTAGAGCTACTTGGTAAGTCAAATGTCCGTCCCTCCAGCTGCTCCTCCCGTCCTTGTCGCATTTGTCTGTCTGCCCCAGCTCAGGGCCATTGGAAGGAACCTCTCCCGGCCTAGGCGGAGCGAGGAAGGCAGTTGGTCCCCGGAGGGAGGGGCCTGGGGCGCAGTCCCCTTGGGGCTCCTGGGGCCCCCTGGTCAGGGATGAGTCCAGGGCCACTGCTGGGTCAGTCTGCCAGGCCAGGAGGGGTGGCTGGGGCAGGGTGGGGGGCATAGGCCCTGGCCACCCTGCCCCTCCTGGGCCAGCCCTGTGACCTTGTCTGTCACCTCCCCACTTGCTGTCTGACCATCTCTACGCCATCCTGTTGCCTCTCTCTTTCTTGCTGCTGCTTTGTGTCACTGTTGCTGTCCTTGTGTGTGGCTTCTGAGCTGAGTGGGGACCCACACTGAGGCAGCCTCCTTCCCTGACCCCAAGGCCCAGCCCCTAGCTCTCCTGACCCCGCCCTGCAGCGGCCTGGCCTGTAGCTGAGCCCACACCCTCTCTGTCCTGCTTCCTCCCTGCTCCCCGGGCCATGAGGTGAGGGGTCCCTTACACGGGCAGTAAGGGCACCCGTGTGGCCAGCAGTGTTCCTGGGCCCCGAGAGCCACCCTGAGGCTACCCTAGGTCCTGGCTGGCTTTGCAGCTTTGGTGTCGTTCCTGTGTGTGGTGTCTGTCTGTCCTCTCTACTTGCTCTGGTGGGACCAGCCCCTCCATGAGCCCCAGAGTCCCGACTGCCGTCCCCAGTCCCCTGGCCCCACGGCAGCTTCAGCGCCCTGGTCGGGGACACCACTAAAGGGGCCTGTGAGCCATGGCTGCAGTGAGCAGGGCCAGCGTCCCCAGCGCGGCCTCTCCTCCCACCCCCTCCAGGCAAAGGAGACCTGCAGCCGCAGCTGGACAGCGCCCTGCAGGACGTCAACGACATGTACCTGCTGCTGGAGGAGACGGAGAAGCAGGCGGTGCGCCGGGCACTCACCGAGGAGCGGGGCCGCTTCTGCACCTTCATCACCTTCCTGCAGCCTGTCGTGGTGGGTCCCGTGGGGACTTGCAGGCCCCACTGGCTTGGGCTGGGTCTAGGGTTGACCTCTCCGCCTCCAAGAAAGGCCGCTTCTCAGCGATCCCTGGCTGGGGTGCCTAGGCCACATGCTCCTGGCCTAGAGGCCGGTCTTGTAGCTCACTGTGCACTGGTGGGTCCGGACAGACAGTTGTGCCAGCGACTCGGGCTGTGCTGGGTGGGACCCGCCTCCACCAGCCCGAGTGGCCTTGGTTAGCCAGGGAGGGGTGAGGGAGGAGGGGCCTGTTTCTGCAGGGCGGTCGGGCAGGCGGCAGGGCCCACGGGTCTGACTGGCTGCATCCTCAGAACGGAGAGCTGACCATGCTGGGGGAGATCACCCACCTGCAGGGCATCATCGACGACCTGGTCGTGCTGACCGCCGAGCCCCACAAGCTGCCGCCCGCCAGTGAGCAGGTGCGGCCACCCCTGGGGCCAGGGGCAGGAGGAGAGGGGCTGCCTTTGGTTGGTGACAGTAAAGGAGAGAAGGGGACAGCATTTGTGGGAGGCAGCTGGGGGTGGCAGACCAGACACCTTCCAGCACGAGCCGTGGGGTGTCCAGGAGCACCTGTCCAGGTGAGGGGGTGGGGCACCCAGGCCCGCACCTGTCTGGGTGAGGAGGTGGGGCGCCCAGGCCCAGCGGGGGTCTCAGACAGAGAGCAGATGGGCAGAGTCCTGGATCTATGGGGGGCGGAGCCCTGAGCGAGACCCCAGCCAGGCTCCACCTGGTGATGCCGGCCTGCCACTCACCCCCAGAAACCCTATCACCTCTCCGAGACCCAGGTGCAACTGCACCCCCTCACCCCCCACCCGGCTCCACTGCACTTGGACCAGTGCTACCTGACAGCCCCACATGGCCTTGCACTGCTTAGGCACTTAATGCATGCACAACTGTCTGCTAAACACTTCCAAATGTCACCAGCTTTCTCCCTGCTCCCCACGTTAGGAGAAAGCTAGGGGAGGGACCTTCAGACTCACAGGTCTTCTCCTAGGGTGTGGTTCTCAATCGGGAAGAAGGTGGGGGGGTGCCCTCTGGCCCTACTAGCTCTCGGGCTGCCTCCAGTGACCCCCATCTGTGTCCCTGTCCAGGTGATCAAAGACCTGAAGGGCTCAGACTACAGCTGGTCCTACCAGACCCCACCCTCGTCACCCAGCAGCTCCAACTCCCGGAAGTCCAGCATGTGCAGGTCAGTGCGGGTGGAGGGCAGTGTCCCGAGGGGGAACGGGGACATTCCCGGCCAAGTCGCAGGGCAGACACTTCAGGCCCCTGGGACTCACACGACTTTTACATCAGCCAAGGAATTTGCAAATGTAGATGAAAAACATGCTCCATCCTCCCAGACTGCTGCTGGCTCAGGCCTTTGTTGGCAGGAAAGTTGGGGGGCGGCAGTCGCAGCTTCAGTTATAGAGCATTAACTGTGCCAGGTGCTGTGCTCAGTGCTTTATGCATTTTTTCATCGAATCCTACCCCCACTGTGTCAGGTGTGGTGTCATCTCCATTTCTCAGAAGGGGAAACTGAGGCACAGAGTCCCAGCATTTAACCACTGAACTCTGCCAGGCCAAGCACAGTGGGGGGTAACAGAATCTAACCTTGGGGAGGGAGAGGGGGAGGCTTCTGGAAATTTGTGCTGAGGCCACAAGGTAAAGGACACTTCAGCCTGGCTGGTTCCCACAGAGCTGCCACAGGCTCACGCCTCGGCCCAGGTTGTCCCTACGGGTGTCTCAGAGCTGAGGAGAGGCCGGGGATCGTGAGCTCGGGATCAGGGGCCCTCTCTTGACTGGCACCAGGGCCGGACTTGGAGGGGACATTTACGATTCAGGGTTCCTTGGATGAGGACGGCAGTGAGCGCAGGGCAAGTTGGTGGTGTTGGGGGCCCTCTTGTGCCAGGCATCCCTCTCCCCAGTGTCACCTCTGGCTGGACCCCCAGGAGGCCATCAGACCCTGGGCAGGTGGCAGTCACCGGAGGAAGGATTCATTCAGGGAGACGTAGGAGCAGGGGCCGAGGCTGGGGGGCTTCACGGTTACTCAGGAGGAAGGCGACGTCCGCTGCTAGGATCACTGCCCAAGGGTGCAGGGGCTGTGCGGAGGGTGTGTGCCGCGGAGGGTGGGCACCCTCGAGGGGATAGAGCGGATGAGGGTGATGGTGGGTCCAGGACGCGCCTGGCAAGTGTCTTCCATGTCCAAGCAGACCGTCACCATGTTAGACACCCAGTTGGAATTGGATGGCCAATACCAGACTTTGAGAATCAGTTTAGAGATGATCTGACTTGCATCTGGTTCTGAGGGTTTAATTATATGGTGACTCAGTTTCCCCGTGGTTAACCTAAGGACTACTGTTCTTAATGGCAGAGTAGGAGACAGATTGACTCACCCTGGGCCTGCCCTGACCATGGCCCCATCGGCACTGGGGCACTCCAGGGGCGTGGGCTGGGTGTCCCCTTCTCCGGCCCTACCCTGCCTCTCAGAACACAGCTCCTCTGTAGTGCCTGGGTCTCAGGACCTCCTAGTCTGACATTGTCTTTTCCTTCCTTTGCCCCTCACCTCTTTCCCCCACCCTCGTCTGTCACCCTCCCCCAAACACACTCCTCTGTCTCTCCCTGTCCGGCTGCTCTGCTCTCCTCCTCCTCCGCCCCCAGCGCCCCCAGCAGCAGTAGCAGTGCCAAGGGTGGCGGAGCCCCGTGGCCAGGGGGTGCCCAAACATACTCACCCAGTTCCACTTGTCGCTACCGCAGCCTGGCACAGCCAGCCACCGCCACCGCCCGCCTCTCCAGCGTCTCCTCCCACGACTCTGGCTTCGTCTCCCAGGACACCACCTACTCCAAGCCTCCCTCGCCCATGCCTTCAGACATCACCAGCCAGGTGAGGGGGACAGCCGGGGTGGGCTGCAGGAGTCCCATGGCAGCCTCAGGCTATCCATGTGTGGGGCCACTACAGCTGTTGAGACTGGTCTAGAGGTCCCCAGGGCCTGTGTTTGCTCAGTGTCATCATGTTATCATATAATATCATTTTCCGTCTTTTACATTTTAAGCTCAGCAATATCTTCATGTTTCAGATGCGTCTCTCATAAACAGCGTATGCCTAGATTTTCTGTTTTGTCCAATCTGATCTCTGTCTTGTATTTGGCATTTTAGTCCATTTATATTTGTTGTGATTGGTAACATATTTGCACTTACACCTTTTTTCTTTCTATCCTGTGCTGCATTTGTCTCTTCCTTTGCCTTTTGTTTCTCCTTTTCTCATATTTCCCCTCTACTATATTGCAAGTTATACTCTATTTCTGTTCTTTTACAGATTACCTTAAATTTTACCATGCATGCTCAGCAAACTCACAACCCCACCTCATGAATAATTCAAGGCCCTTAATATATTTTAACTTCAATCGCCCACGCCCTCTCAACTTAAAAGCTGCTATATGTTGTTCTCTCCTTTTTTTTAATAGTACCCACAAATGACATTTTTCTTCTTAATTTATTATCTTATACATACAGTATTTGTTTAGATTTACCCACACACATATTTACACATTGTTCCTTTGTTCATCATTTTTCCTTGCATCTCAAATCTTCCTTCTAAGGTCATCTTCTTTCTTTATAAAGTAAAGAACATCTTTCAGAAGTTCTTCTAGAATAGGTCTATAATGATAAACTCTCAGTTTTTGTTTACTTAACAAACATGCCTTATTTTATCCTTTCTTGAAAGTTAGTTTTGCCAGGGTCACGATTCTGGGGTGACATTTATTCTCTCTCCACCCTTGGAATGTATTTTTCTATGGTTCAGGCTTTCATTGTTGGTTGGAAAGTTCTGTCTTCAGGCACATCCTTGCCCTTTGCAAGTGATGTGACATCTCTCTCTGGCCACCTTTAAGCCTTTTCTTTAGTTTTGCTACAGTGTATCTGCCACGTGGATTTGTTTTATTTTAACCTCCCTCGGTAGAAACCAAAATTGATGTCTTTCATTTGCTCTGGGACTTTTCAGCTGTTTTCTTTTATTCCATCTTTCATTCTTTCTGTTCACTCCCGCTGGGACTCCAGCTCAGCGTGTATCAGACCCTCTCAACGTCTCTCTACGTCTCTTAACTCAGTTTCCCTTACTTGTTTTTTCATATATATCCTGGATGACTTCCCTCTATTTTCCAACCTAGTTCCCTTTTTTGCTATTTATCCTACCCACTTAGGGTTGGGTGTTTTTTTTTGTTTTTTTTTTTTTAACTTTTTATTTTGAAATCATTGTAGACTTGCAGAAAAGTGGCAAAAGGAATGAGAGTTCCCTTATACCCTTCCCATGGTCTCCCTGATGCTGATGTCTCACGTAGCTCCGAACAATTCTCAAAACTATGAAGTGAACACTGGTACAATTCTGCAAACTCATCTATGGATTTTTTTCAAATTTTGCCAGTTTTCTCTCCTTTCTCCTTTTCCTCGTTCAGGATCCAAAACAGGGTCCTCCATTGTGTTTAACTTTTATGTCACTTACGCTTCTCCAACCTGTGACTGTTCCCCAGTCCCTTCCCTCTTTGTCTTTTGTGACTTTGATACTCCTGCAGAAATCGCCCAGATATTGTGTAGGATGTCTCTGAATTTGGGTCTGTCTGACGTCTTCCTGTTTAGGATGTGAGGTTTTTATACATTTTGGCAAGAACACAGAAGTGGCGTTGTGCCCTTCTTGGTGCGTCGTGTCGGCTACATGATGTCACGTGCCCAGTGACTGGTGACATTCTTGGTTAAGGTGGCATTTGTCAGGTTTCCCCACCGTAGTGTCCTTAGTTTCTCCTTTGTGATTGATAAAAGTGTCTCTTGCAGTGGGACACTTTCGAGACTCTTCAGCTATCCCTGCTTCTCATCATACTGTCACTCACTAAGGTTAGCAGCCATGGGTGATTCCTACCTGTGACAATAGTGATTTTTTTTATTTCCATCATTCCTCCTGTATTTTACTCATTGGAATTCTACCATGAAAAGATCTGTCTCAGCTGGGCGCGGTGGCTCACGCCTGTAATCCTAGCACTCTGGGAAGCCAAGGTGGGCGGATTGCTTGAGGTCAGGAGTTCGAAACCAGCCTAAGCAAGAGGGAGACCCCTTCTCTACTAAAAATAGACATTAATTGGCCAACTAAAAATATATAGAAAAAATTAGCCGGGCATGGTGGTACATGCCTATAGTCTCAGCTACTCGGGAGGCTGAGGCAGGAGGATCACTTGAGCCCAGGAGATTGAGGTTGCTGTGAGCTAGGCTGACGCCACGGCACTCACTCTAGCCCCGGCAACAGAGTAAGACTCTAAAAAAAAAAAAAAAAAATCTGTCTCTTTCCCCTCATTTATTTACATATCCAATTATTTATGTCAACAGGGACTCGTAAATATTTCCTTTATTCTATGGGTGACAACCTATTACCATCGAGTCTTTTAGGAACGTATGTATTGAAGTATTCTGTGGAGAAATAAATACATCGTGAGCACGCAGCTCTGTAATTCTGCACAAAGTGAGCACGCCCACGCAACCCGCCCCAGGAACAAGAAACAGCACAACCGTCACCCCCCAGAAGTCCGCAAGGGTCACCACTGTCCTGCCTAGATTGGTCTTGCCTTTGTTATCCTTGAGCACCAGGAAGTGTGTGTCCCTTCTGCCTGGGCTCTTTGGCCCGGGCTGACGTTTACGGCACTCGTCATGTTTTACGTGGAGGTGTGTATCATTCCTATCGCTGTGTCGCATTCCCCGGTGTGAATATACAGCATGTGTAGACATTTTCATGGACATGTGGATGGTTTCCACGTTTCTGGCTGTGGTGTTGCTGACGACAGCCTAGCATGCCCCGTGGCGAGGGGCCACACCCAGGGGTGGAATCGCTGAGTCTCGCTGGGGATACGCACGTTGTCCTGGTCCCGTAGGTCCTGCCAGTTTGCAAAAGCGACCGTACCCGTTTCCCCTCCTGTTAGGGTTATGGTAGTGTGTTGCTACTCCACATCCTGACCAGCCCTCTGTGTTTGCCTCTTGTTCGTTTTGTCCATTCTGGCAGGTACATGGTGGTGGCGGTACCCTGTATTTTAATTTGCATTTACCTAACGATGATGAGGTTGAACACCCTCTTATATATTTTTTTTAAGAGACACGGTCTCACCATGTTGCCCTGGCTGGCCTTGAACTCCTGGGCTCAAGTGATCTTCCCACTTCAGCCTCCCCAAGTAGCTGGGATTACAGGTATACGTCATGGCACCTGGCTACCTTTTCATACTTTTAAAGGCCATTTTTGTGAAGGACCTGTTCAAATCTTTTGCCCATTTTTCTACTTAGGTTGTCTGTCTTTTTCTTACTGATTTACAGTGCTCTTTATATAGGGTAGGTGCAAGTCCTTCATCGGTTACCTTTTCTTATTCTGTGGGTACCTTTTTTCTCTCCTAATGGGATCTTTGAAAGACCAGTTCTTAGTTTTAATATAGTCCAACTTATGCAATGTTTAAATTGTTAGTGCTTTTTTATGTTCTGCTTATTTTTGCATACTCCAAGGTCACAAAGATGTTTTCCTCTAAAAGCCTTCTTCTGCTGTTTTCATTTAGATCCCCAGCTCATGTGGCATTGGCTGTGGTCACGTGTGGGGGGTGGGTGTGGTGTAAGGATTTCCAATTGACCTGGAACGATTTATTGAAAAGACCGTCTGTCGTAGCCTGTTCAGGCTGCTGCGATAACACTGGCTAGCTCAGGGGTCCTCAAACTTTTGAGACAGAGTCTTGCTTTGTTGCCCAGGCTAGAGTGAGTGCCATGGCATCAGCCTAGCTCACAGCAACCTCAAACTCCTGGGCTCAGGCGATCCTACTGCCTCAGCCTCCCGAGTAGCTGGGACTACAGGCATGCGCCACCATGCCCGGCTAATTTTTTCTATATATATTAGTAATTTCTAAATTAATTTATTTCTATTTATAGTAGAGACGTGGTCTCAAACTCCTGACCTCAAGCAATCTGATCGCCTGGGCCTCCCAGAGTGCTAGGATTACAGGCGTGAGCCACCTCGCCCGGCCGAGGGGTCCTCAAACTTTTTAAACGGGGGACCAGTTCAGTGTCCCTCATACCGTTGGAGGGCCGGACTATAGTTAAAAAAAAAACTATGAACAAATTCCTATGCACACTGCACATACCTTATTTTGAAGTTAAAAAACAAACGGGCAAAAACACCCACTTGTGGCCCACGGGCTGTAGTTTGAGGACGCCTGGGCTGGCTAGCTCAACCACAGAAATGTGCTTGGCAGAGTCCTGCAGGCTGGGACATTCAGGATCAAGGTGCCAGCGGGTCTGGTGTCCGGCAAGGGTCTGCTTTCTGGTTTGCAGGTGGCACCTTACTGCTTTGTCTTCTTCCCTCTCAGAGCCAGGGCCAAACTGGCTCCCGAGGGATCTCTTTATAAGGTCACTAAGCCCCTTCATTCAGGGCTCCAACCCCGTGACCTAATCACCTCCTGAAGTTCCCACTTCCTAATACCTCCCCCTGTTGGGTGAGGATGTCAACATGTGAATTGGGGGAGCGCAGACACTCGGCATTGTCTGTTCCCCACTGCAGTGTCGCCTGGGTCCTAAATCAGGCGCCTGCATGTGTGTGGCTGTTTCTGGACTCGTGTCGTGTTGTGCTGGTGGATTCCTCTGGCCTTGTGCTGATACCACACATCTTAATTATTGTAACTGGATAGAAAATCTTCATAGCCGGTGAGGAAAGTCCTTTGCGTTTCCATGTAAATTTTAAGATCAGCTTCTTAGTTCCCACCAAAAAAAAAGTTCCTGGGATTTTAACTAGAATTGTGTATGTCTCCCCATTTATTTAAGCTTTACCTTCTCTCACTGATGCTTTGTAGCTTTCATGTAAAGACCTTGTGCAATCTGTTGTGGGATTTTTTTCCCCTAGTATTTGATGTTGAGTGATACTATTGTAGATTACACTGTTGTTTTTTTTCCTTTTTAGGGTTTTTTCCTATTAGCTGCTAGTATTTAGAAATACAATTGATTTTTTTTTCTGACTTCATATGGAATAACCTTGCTAAAACCGCTTATTAATTCTGACAGTTTGTGGATTCTTTTGCAGATTCTACATATACTTTTATGTCATTTGTAAATAGTGATTGTTTCTTCCTTTCCAATCCTTTTGCTTTGTATTCCTTTTTCTTGCTTTATTGCACTGGCTGAGACTTACTGTGCTGACTAGACCCAATGACAGCAGGCGTCCTTGTCTGTTTTCCAACCTCAGGGAAAGCATCAATAATTTTACAGATAATCATCAGATTAAGGAAGTTTCTTTCTATTCCTAATTTAAGTGTCTTTGTTTCTTTTATTTTTTCCCATGAATGGATGTTGAACTTTTCCATTGAGTTTTCTAATTGAACAGCCCTATTGCTGAAAGTCTGAATTTGTTATTTCCTCTGAATCCTTAACCTCTGCTGTTTTGTTGCCTTTTATTTGGTGATCTTGGTGCATTATAATCTGTAGGAAACCTGGGGACCTAACTTGTTCTTGATTCAGAGTTCGGTGGGAGCTAGGGACAGGCACTAATCCCCTTGCAGCCGCCCCAGCTCGGCTCCTGGGGTGAGCACCTTGATGTGCTCCCTCCTGCTGTGCCCCATCAGTGTCTGCCCTGGAGCCCCTGCCTGTCACACGTGCTTGGGAGCTCACAGTCCTGTGCCCACGCTTATTTTTTTTAATCTTTTTTTTTTTTGTTTCTTCTACACAAACTTGATTTTTTGAAAGCTTATTTTTCTTCATTCTTTTTTTTTTTTTTTTTTTTTGAGACAGAGTCTCACTCTGTTGCCTGGGCTAGAGTACTGTGGCGTCAGCCTAGCTCACAGCAATCTCAAACTCCTGGGCTCAAGCGATCCTCCTGCCTCAGCCTCCCGAGTAGCTGGGACTACAGGCATGCACCACCATGCCCGGCTAATTTTTTCTGTTTTTAGTTGTTTAGCTAATTTCTTTCTATTTATAGTAGGGATGGGGTCTCTTGCTCAGGCTGGTCTCGAACTCCTGAGTTCAAGCGATCCTCCTGCCTCGGCCTCCCAAAGTGCTAGGATTACAGGTGTGAGCCACTGCGCCCGGCCTTCTTCATTGTTTATAGTCGTTTTAGTGTCTACCCCCTTGCCCAGAGCCAGGCCTGCCATTCTCACTTCTGGCTACTCTTACAGGGGCTGCCTCGTCCCATTCTGCTGCAACCACCTTCCTCAGGGTTTCTGTGGACCCTCTTTTGCCCTCAGCACTGGGTGCTGCAGCAGCACAGCTGCCCCGACCCCAGCACCAGCTCTTGTCCTCACTCCCATGGCATCGCCTGCACATGGCTCCCGCTCCTCCAGCAGCTCGTCGTGCTCCTTTGCTCGACTCTGCTCTTCGTCACAGCTGCTGCGTGTCAGCGTTCCTATGGCCCCAGGCCCTTGTCTCTGACCACACACTGCCCAGGTGGCCTCATCCTGCCCCCAGCCTGCTGCACTGCTCCAACCCTGACTTCTCCCTGAAGTGCAGGCGTGAGCATGTTGCCCGTGTCTCATGTAGAGACCTAACAGGCAGCTCCACTCACCGGGTGAGGGATGGCACTCTGCACTTCCTGTGTCCCCGCAGTGTCCCCTTTCTGAGAAAACTGTGACACTATCAACCCCGCTGCTGAAACCAAAGGTCCAAATGCCACATTTAGTGTCTCCTTCCTTTGCCCCCCACGGTCAGGCCATTGAGCAAGTCCTATGGTCAAACCTCAGGACTGGGCGGGCAGTGCCCACACGTGTACTCTTGGTGGCTGTGGCCATGGTGGGGGTGGGCTGAGGCCCTGAGTCAAACCGCCCGCCCCCTGCACGCCGGTGCTGTGACCAGGACTGTTCTCTCCTTTCCGCCCTGCCGGCCCCTATCTGTCTGTGCAACCCCCCGCCACCTCGGCACGGCAGAAGTCCTCCAGCTCCGCGTCCTCGGAGGCCTCGGAAACCTGCCAGTCTGTGAGCGAGTGCAGCTCCCCCACCTCGGTCAGTGCCCCCCACCCGCCCCCAGGACCGTCACCGCAGGGAGGGCCCAGGGTGAGCCGGAGGGGTGTGTCCCCAAGCGACCAGCTGCATGGGCACCACCTGCAGTCACTCCCCACACGGCCACGTCTGTCCCTCCTGGGATGCCCCATCCTGCCCCTGGGCCTGGTGGGACCAAGGAGTCACAGTGGTGCTCTGTACTGTGGCCATGGTTGTGAGCCCCAGACCCCTCAGGGTCCTGGACACCCCAAGTGTCAGCCTCATGGAGGGGCCCCCAGGCCATGGGTGGCAGGGCCAAGAGTGCCCTGACCTGGCTCCCCCCGCCTTTTCCCCCCAGGACTGGTCCAAGGCCGCCGCCCACGAGCAGTCCTCAGCCACCACCCTGCAGCGGAGGAAGGACCGGGTAGAACTCCTGCGAGACGCAGAGCCAGGTCCCGCCAGCGGGGCCACCATGGGCCCCAGTGGGGAGGAAGTGCCGCGACCCCGCATGTCCCCTGCCACCATTGCTGCCAAGGTAAGCCAGCAGGTCCGTGCCCGGAGACCCAGCATGTGGTCTTCACGGTCGGCTCCAGCCACCTACTGGGGCTTCTGGTGTCTGGGCAGAGCGGGATGTGGGGGGCAAGGTCCTAGCCTGTGCTTTGCCACCCCCTAGCACGGTGAGGAGGTGTCCCCTGCGGCCAGTGACCTGGCCATGGTGCTGACCCGTGGCCTGAGCCTCGAGCACCAGAAGAGCAGCCGGGACTCGCTGCAGTACTCCAGCGGCTACAGCACGCAGACCACCACGCCCTCCTGCTCCGAGGACACCATCCCCTCCCAGGGTAGGCGCTGGGCCCTCACAGCCCCGCCGGGGACAGCCGGGCCCCAGCCGCACAAGGGGGCCCTGTACCTCCCTCTCCGCGTCCAGCCTTGGGTGGACCCCTGGGCTGACGGCACGCATTCCCCAGGCTCCGACTACGACTGCTACTCCGTGAATGGGGACGCAGACAGCGAGGGCCCGCCCGAGTTCGACAAGTCGTCCACCATCCCGCGCAACAGCAACATCGCCCAGAACTACCGCCGCCTCCTCCAGACCAAGCGCCCCGCCTCCACCGCCGGGCTGCCGTCTGCGGGGCTGCCCTCCGCCAGCGGCCTGCCCTCGGGCGCGCCCCCCGGCGTGGCCACCATCCGCCGCACGCCCTCCACCAAGCCCACCGTGCGCCGCGCCCTGTCCAGCGCCGGCCCCATCCCCATCCGGCCGCCCATCGTCCCCGTGAAGACGCCCACAGTGCCCGATTCGCCCGGCTACGTGGGGCCCACCCGGGCGGGCAGCGAGGAGTGCGTCTTCTACGCCGACGAGGCCGCCTCGCCCCTGGCGGCAGACCTCGCCAAGGCCTCCCCGAAGAGGCTCAGCTTGCCCAACACGGCCTGGGGCAGCCCGGCCCCGGAGGCTGCCAGCTACCCCGGGGCGGCGGAGGACGAGGAGCAGCAGCAGCTGGCCGCCAACCGGCACAGCCTGGTGGAGAAGCTGGGCGAGCTGGTGGCGGGCGCCCATGCCCTGGGCGAGGGCCAGTTCCCCTTCCCCACCACCCTGTCGGCCACCCCCGCGGAGGAGACGCCCACCCCGCCTCCTGCGGCCACCAGCGACCCGCCGGCTGAAGACATGCTGGTGGCCATCCGCCGCGGGGTCCGGCTCCGCAGGACCGTCACCAACGACAGGTCTGCACCCCGCATCTTATGATGGCACCGCCCTCCCCACCCTCTCTGGCCTGGGAGTAGTGGCCACTCGGAGTGGAGGCACAGCCAGGAGCGAGTGCAGGGCCAGGCCACAGGCAGAGCCACTTTATGGAGAGACACACCCGGCTTGGATTCCAGCGTTTAAGCGGGAGGTGACTTCCTTAACAGACCCCGCCAGGACAGAGCCTTCGGGCCTTGAACTGGGTTGGAGCCCGTTTTATACGTTTCTGTCCCCTTCCTCCGTGCAGGCCCTGTCTCTTCCACACCCAGGTGAGCACCAGAGCCATGGTCCCCGCCCATGGGAGAGGGGCCATCCCCGCCCTCCCTGACCTGGGACCCACAGCTCGAGCCCCTGTCCGGGCCAGCGCTGCCCCGGCTCCTGTTGGAATGCCGGCTCTCCCCCTGCCCAAGCACCCTCCATCCCTCTTGCCTGTCCCAGGCTGCTCTGCATCTGGGCGGCACAGCGGCTGTGGGGTGAGTCAGGCCGGGGCTGCAGGGGGAAGTCGGGGAGCAGAGCCTGGGGGCCCAGGTCAAGTCTCAGGGAGGAAATGCAGGGGGCTTGCTTGGAGGTGCTGGGGACCCTGAGGTGGCTACCACCCCCGCCTCCCCTCCCCGTGAGTTTGGCTGCAGGGGGTGGCAGGGAGAGGCACCCCTCAGCAGCTGGGGCAGCAGGGTAGGGCCCTGAGGCCAGGTCGTCTGGGCAGCCTCAAAGGAGCTGGCGTCAGACGCCTGGTTCTCATCCGGGCACATCGATACTTTAACTTGGTGGCACTTTGGAGTCACAGTTGTAGCCACTTTTGGGGGTGGGGGCTGGAGTGGTAGAAGGGGAGGGGGGTTATTTTATGAATATAATAAAAAGGAGCTGACTGTAAGGATGGTGTGTGGGTCTGGGAAGGAAGGGGCCGTCACCGTGGCCGGTCAGGCCCCTGGCAGGAGCAGCGTGGAATCGGCTCCCCAACACCAGGGGAAGCCGCCATTGTTTCCCACGTCGCAAGTGTAGCCAGAGTGAAGCTGGAGGGCCGTGCCCCGCCTGTCGGCTGGGTGGCAGCACGGCTTTGACTGTCGCCAGGGGAGATGCCTTCCTAGGACAGCGCGGCCGGCGGTGGCCATGCGGGGGAGGAGGAGGTACCCCCTGCCCTACGCACCTAGTCACGCCGAGTCTCAGCAGGTAAAAGCATGTGACCTAGGGCGAGTAGAAGGGGTCCAGGTGGTCCCGTGTGTCTCGAGGAGAAAGCAGTAGCCTCCCTGGGGTCAGGAAAGCAGCAGTCCTGGGTCCTGACAGAACAGGGCCTGGTCTGGGCTCCGGGCAGCTCCTGTGCCAGGAACCGGTGTTGCTGTGGGGCGCAGGCGGGCCTGGGGCGCCCCCGAGTGCACAGAGCCCCTCAGACAGTGCAGATGGAGAATAGACCCTGTGAGTCACTAGTCCAAGCTCAGGCTGACGCCAGAGCCCCTGGGTTGGTGGCCAGGAGAGGTGACCAGTTAGGGAAGCCTGGGGGTGGCCTTTCCGTTGCGGGTTCTCCACGGGGTTGCCCAGGTGGGCAGAGGGAGTGGAAAGTGTGATGGGAACAGGGAGGTACGGCAGGTAGGGGGTGGCTGGGGCCTAGAGGCCCTGCGAGCAGAGCTCTCCTACCTGGGGGTGGCTCCATGGTGGTGGGGGGGCATGCCTGGGCTTCAGAGGTTCAGATGGGGGGGAGGCAGGGGTGGCACAGGCCCCCCCTCTGCCCCAGGGCTGTACATACTCCCCCCTCTCCAAGCCCTGCCATCCCCAGGACACCCCCCGCCTGGTGGCTTTAGCGACCACCCTGTAGGCCCCGCCCCCTTGGGATCCGACCACCCCTCCTGCATTACAAACTTTGGTTTGGGGGACGTCTTTACGTTCATTTTATTTTTCATTTTGTACAGAGGAATATTCTTTTCAAAAGCGTCTTTTGACTGAAGTAACTTTTCTGGTGCTGTTGTTAACTTGTTCCTTTTTTTAATTTATTTTCCCACCGCGCCCTCCAGCTTCCTACTCACCTTCTCTCCTCGCCCCCGAGCCCTCCATCCCATCTGCACCACGTCGTTCCTTTTCTTTCTGTCGGTTTTTGGATAAATTCTCTTCTCCTCCCCACTCCCCCCTCCACGCCATCCTCCCCTTGATTTAAATAGTCACTGCTACGAGTAACAAATGCACTGTGAAGATTCCAGTATTAATAAAGTGGTACTGTAATTAACACCTGCCTCAGCCTGGCGTCCCCACCCCTGCCTCTGCCACGCCCAGGGTGCCAGGCTGGGGGCAGCCACCCCAGCGGGCCGAGGCTCCCAGCCCCTCCACGTTCGCCCTTCCAGGTGCAAAGCAAACCAAACAGAACCAAAATAAAGCGGGGTGTTTAATAGAAAAAAATAAAAGGAGCTGGTAGAGCATCCCTTGTGGCAAGATGTGGCACTTGTCTCCCCTGGCACCCCCACCCACCGCCCAGGTGTACCTTGAGGACACATTCAGCACCCCCTTGGGCAGGGCCATGCCACCTGCAGGACCCCTCAGCCTCCAGCCATTCCCGGTGTGACCACGACAGGTACGGAGGGCAGGAAGCACAGCACGGCTCTGGCACAGGCTCTCCGTGGAAGGAAAGACCCTTTCCTAGGGTCCTCTCACCGGGGGTTCCCACTTCTGGAAGTCTCAGGCCCAGCAGGACGTGGTAACACACCTCATAGCCCTGGCAGGGTCCCCACACAGGCGGCTCAGGGCAGGCGACCTTCGCCCAGGGCATGGGGCTGCCGCGGCGGGGGGTACAACCAGGTGGCGTCACACTGCGGTGAGGGCTGGGGACTCCGCGTCGCGCACTTCTGCCAGTTTAGGACGGAGCTTTGTTTACCTGCAAGGGACGAAGAAAAACACACCTGATTTTTCTAGCATGAGGGGGGCTACGGTTAAAGCCCCCTTCTCCACCAGACTAAGCCCCATGTCCTTGTCCCAGGGCCCATCTATGCTTCCAGCTGGGGCCTGTGGAGCAGAGGGCACGCCCAGGACGACCCTGGCTCTGCTCGTTCACCTGGCCCTGTCACCCACCCCACACCCAGGCCCCTGCCCCATCCCCTGGCAGCTCCTTACAGCAGGAGCAGTACAGCAGCTCCATGACCCGGAAGCAGTTGTCCAACAGGGCTTTGGGCCGCACCAGCTTCAGGCTCAGCCCGGGGGTGTGCAGGACAGACAACATCGCTTCCACCTTGGGGCTGTCCTCCACATCCTGGAAGGGAGGAAGCCGTCAGGACCAGGCACGAGATGGCAAAAAGCGACGGGGTGCTTCCGCCCAGGCTGCCCCAAATCACAGGAAAGAGGACAGACTTCCTGGGACCAGGAGCCTGGGAACCACTTCTCAACTTCTCTGCAGACACCCGGAGGGGCCCAGATGCCACCCCCTCACCAAGACACAACTCAGAAATGGTTTTGGAAATGGGCAGTGCTGATGGTTGCATAGCACTGCAAATTTAATTAATGCCACGGAATTTTATACTTAAAAATGGTCAAAAGGGCCAATTTTACGTCATAAAATGTGTTCCCTCCCAGCATAGCCCCCACTGTCTTCATCTGGGTTCTTGTTTCTATGGTTTTAAGGACACTACATGAAAGCAAGGGGGGAAACATGGTACAAGAACAGTGAGTGGCCAGGCACAGTGGTTCACACCTAGAATCCCAGCACTTCAGGACGCCAAGGCAGGAGTCATTAGAGGCCAGGAGTTTGAGACCAGCCTGGGCAACACAGCAAGAACCCGTCTGTACAAAAAAAAACCAATGCAGAATCCAAGCAATGTCTCACAACTAGATGAGGAGGTAGAATGAAGCCATAGAATCAGTAGGGGTTTTTTGTTTTTGGAGACAAAATCTGGCTCTGTTGCCCAGGCTAGAGTGTCATGGCATCAGCCTTGCTCACAGCAACCTCAAACTCCTGGCTCAAGTGATCCTACTGCCTCAGCCTCCTCAGTAGCCAGTAGCTGGGACTGCAGGCATGCGCCACTTAGTGCCCAGCTAATTTTTTATATATATTTTTCTAGTTGTCCAGATAATTTCTATTTTTAGTAGAGATGGGGTCTCATTCTTGCTCAGGCTGGTCTTGAACTCCTGACCTTGAGTGATCCTCCTACCTTGGCCTCCCAAAATACTAGGATTACAGGTGTTAGCCACCACACCCGGCCCAGAGTTACTTTTTAAGAGACAGGATGTTGCTCTGTCACACACAGCCAGTAACTGTAACCTCAAGGTCCCAGGCTCAAGCAATCCTCCTGCCTCCTGCCTCAGCCTCCCGCATAGCCGGGACTAGAGGCAGGCGCCACCATGCACACCAGGCTAATTTTTCTACTTTTTGTAGAGATAGAGACCAGCCCAGGCAAGAGTGAGACCCCCAACTTGTGACCTCAAGCAATCTCCCATCTTGGGCTCCCAGAGTGCTAGGATTATAGGCGTGGGCCACCGTTTCCAACCTTTTTTTTGAGACAGAGTCTCGCTTTGTTGCCCAGGCTAGAGTGAGTGCCATGGCGTCAGCCTAGCTCACAGCAACCTCAAACTCCTGGGCTCAAGCAATCCTCCTGCCTCAGCCTCCCAAGTAGCTGGGACTACAGGCATTCGCCACCATGCCTGGCTAATTTTTTTTGTATATATATTAGTTGGCCAATTAATTTATTTCTATTTATAGTAGAGACGGGGTCTGGCTCTTGCTCAGGCTGGTTTCAAACTCCTGACCTCGAGCAATCCGCCTGCCTCGGCCTCCCAGAGAGCTAGGATTACAGGCGTGAGCCACCGCGCCCGGCCCCAACCTTATTTTTAAGTAAAGTATATAGTTTACATTAAGGTTCGCCCTCTGTTTTGCGCAGTTCTGCAGGTTTTGACGAGCGCCTGATGGCACCTATGCACCATCACCATTGTACAAAATAGTTTCACTACCCTGAAAGCCTCCTGGGCTCCACCCATCCTCCCTTTGGCCCTGCCCCTGGCAAAGGGACCTTGTGGGGCAGACACAAAGTCAGAGGTTCGAGGACTGGCCCAGGATCCGGATCCCGAGAGGCAGGGCCTGGAGCAGTGTCTCGGGGGCACCTCCTGCCCCGCCAGCCCCGCGCAGCCCACTCGGTCAGCACGGCCACCTCTTCTTTCCATGGGCCCCTGTTCCCGCACCCCTCCTGTTTCTCCCACACCCCCTGGGATGGGCCCAAACTTTCTGGGCATTCACCGATCCCCTAGATGGCCCTGGGCCACGCCCGCAGGCTCGCACACACGCGCATGCGCACAGCCGCCTCCGCACAGCTCACCCTGAGGCCCTGCCGGACGTCCAGCAGCAGCGTCTGTACCTCCTGCAGGTACTGCCAGGACGGGTGGTCCTTGAACAGCACGTCCTGCGCCGACTCAGCGGCGCTGAGACTCGCCAGGACCCACAGACACCGCAGCTCTCGCTCGCTCACCCGGGCCCTCCGCTGCGGACACGGGAGAAGTCGCTGGAACCCCCAGGAACGGGCTTCTCCGCTCCGCCCCCGCCCCCGCCCCGGACTTGCCCTGCGCAGGGAGCAGGCTGCGGGCGTCTGCCCTGTTTGAGGGGCGGGGAAGGGTCCCCGGTCAGCAGCACAGCCTGCCTGCCGCGACCAAGACGCCCCTGTGGGGGTGGAGCACACAGGCGTCCCGGGAGGCAGGGGTGTCCCCAGCCCAGGAGGGGGCTCTCACTCACCAGCCTGGTGACGTTGGCGATGCGGAACACCCCCTCGTAAGGCACGCTGATCGTGTAGTTGATGGGGAAGTAGTGTTTCTGGGGAGGTACGAAAACCAACCACGAGGTCGGAGGCAGAAATGACTTAGAGAGGCTCCCCCCGCCTCCCAAGATGAGTCCAGCTGGAGGAGAGCAGCCCAGGCCAGCCCTGTGATGGCACACATGGCCCTCTACAGAGAGGGTGTGCCTGGCTGTCACCTGGGGCAAAGAGACCTCACTTTCCTCGGGGACGCAGGCAGGGTTAAACAAGACATACAGCTCCTGTTAAGGCAAAAGTTTCAAACCCGGGGGGGTTTTGAAATACTTCAAAAATGGTGTATTTATTCTGGGGGTAAAGATGTTCTATAACTTGTTATGGTTGCACAACTCACAAAAACCATTCAGCTGTACACTTTCAATTGTATGCTATGGGAATTCTCTCTCAATCAATCTGTTTAAAAAAAAAAAATAAAGAAAAAAGGATAGCCAGGCACTGTGGTACACATCTGTAGTCCCAGCTACTCAGGAGGCTGAGGGACGAGGATCACTCAAGCCCAGGAATTTAAAACCAGCCTGGGCAACAAAGCAAGACTTCATCTCTTAAGAAAAAAAAAAATTTGTTTAACATTTAAAAAAGAATTTTAAGACATACAGAGCAGCCAGGTGCATGGCTCACACCTGTAATCCTAGCACTTTGGGAGGCTGAGGCAGGAGGATTGCTCGAGGTCAGCAATTCGAGACTAGCCTGAGCAAGAGTGAGACCCCATCTTTACTAAAAACAGAAAGAAATTAGCCAGACAACTAAAAATCTATATAGAAAAAAATCAGCCAGGCATGGCGGCGCATGCCTGCAGTCTCAGGTACTTGGGAGGCTGAGGCAGGAGGATCGCTTGAGCCCAGGAGTGTGAGGTTGCTGTGTGCTAGGCTGATGCCATGGCACTCTAGCCTGGGCAATAGAGTGAGACTCTGTCTCAAAAAAAAAACAAACCACATACAGAGCCACATGGGTGTCTCCACTCTACAAAAAGGACTAGGTCTTCATCTCCCCCTGCTGGTAAGTGCCTGGGGTTGCCCAGAGAGCTCCTAGAGTCCATTCCAGAGTCACAGGGCCAGTGCCACATGGATGTGGGGTCAAAGGTGAGATCAAGGATGGGCGGAGGCCCTGGGAGATAGCTGGAGAGGGGTCAGTACACACAGATCCGGCCCACAGGCTGTTTGTTGGACAAAGGCGTGGAAACGGGCCATGGTAAGATTGGGGCTGACACGGGTCCTAGAAGGGGCCCTGAATGTCCAAAGCCCTGTGCCAGGTGAGCCAGGGGCTGGGGAACAGGGACGCAGCTGGTGCCCATGTGGTTACCATGTACTGAAGCCGGTTCTTGTACTGCAGCTTGTCCCGTAGAAAGCCGGTGACGGCGCACTCCTCCCTCTGGGTCAGGGACCACACCTCCAAACCCTCCAGCGCCATACCAAGGAGGATGCCAAGATCTGTGGACCACACCCGACAAGAGCAGTGAGCCCCATGCGCTGCACCCACACCGCCCCAGAACGCAAAGCTGAACGTGACTGTCACCTCTGTGCATGGGTTCCACGGACGTACGGGAGAGGCAGAGCCGGGCGCAGAACGGCAGGGACAGGCAGGCACGTGCAGTCCACACCAACTGTGTCCCCCTCCCCCACCAGCAGTATCCCTGGGAGGCACACCCTAGGGTCTCCCTACTCCTGCCCCACGGGGCAGGCACAACCTCCCATCCAGGACAGTCTCAGCCCCTCAGCTGGGGGTGACATATTTTCAGAGCCTTTTGCTAGATTTTCCATCCAGGGATTCCGGAGATGTGGATTCTGTTTCAATTCTACAAATGACGCTTTGGTCACCCAGGCCACTTCCTTCCCTGCTCTATGTGACCTTAACCTTCCTCTCATTTAAACACGCCTGCAGGCCCGCAGCGAGTTCCCAGATGGTCATTCTGGGATGCTAAGCAGGTCTCCCGCTGGGGGGTTCTCTTCCTGTAACAAATGAGCCCCTGACTTCTGAATCATTCCCCACTGCCACCACTGGGGGTCACTGTGACTTCAAAAACAGCCTTGGTGACTTCCGCAAGGCTGAACATACTTAAAAAATCTGAGAACTTGCAATAAATATGAGTAAGAGTTAAAAGTCCATCAGAGCAGAAAGAACAAAACATAATGGACTAGGAACCTATCCAAAAAAAAAATCAACCTCAGTAATAAGATAAAAATTCACATTAAAACAATCAGATGCCATTTTTCATCTATCCAAATGGAAAGAGGGGTGTGTGTATGTGCGTGTGTGAGAGAGAGAGAAATAGATAGGGTCCTGCTATATTGCCCAGGCTGGCCTCGAACTCCTGAGCTCAAGCGATCCTCATGCCTTCACCTCCTGAGCAGCTGGTGCCACCACACCCAGCTAATTGTGTTTCAATGATGCTGGCAAAGTGGTGAGACAGATGCTCTCATCCTAGAAAGCAATTTGGCAATTTTTGTTATTAATGGACTTAATAATGTCCACACCCTTCAAATCATTAGGCCTTAAAAATGCCCACACCCTTTGACCCACTAAACTCACTTCTAGGAATAAATACGAAGGAAAAAAGAGAGAGAGAGAGAGAGAAATAACCAATAGATGTGTAGGCAAATATTCACTCTGCAGTGTTATTTTGTAATAGTGAAAGTCTATAAATGCCTAGACAGTCCATAATAATAAATGTAGCCAATAAAAATCGCTTATCGAAGATGTGTTTCCATGATGAGAAAAACATAAGCTCAGCGAAGTCTAAAAACATGATTCAGCACTATCTGTGAACATAGCATGATTTTAATTTTGATCATTATATACATGTGTGCTTGGAAAACATGGTGAAAAGAAATATACTACATCTCCAAGGGAGATTTTAAAAAATGTTTCTCTTTACATTTGTAGGACATGTTTTATATTCTATAATCCATTTTATAGTTAGTCGAAATAAATAAACGGATAATTATTGCTTTTATTAATTATTTATTTATTTATTTTTCAAAATAGCCAAGCAGGCTGAGTCACCTCCCTGATCCACCCTGGTTACCAGGAATTCCGGATCAGACTTTCCCCACTTACTTCCTGGCACCTCAAAGACTTTTGAACTCACAGCCCCGCTGGCCGGGGCCACACCACCTCCTCCAACCCCCTGTCCTGCTCTGTCCTGGGGCCCAGCCCTGGCCCCTGTGGGACCCCTCACTCAACTCAGACCCTCGGGACCAATCAGGTCCTGGGTCGTGTGTGGGCAAGAGCCCTTCTGCCCTGCAGAACTCTGACAATCACATTTTTTTTTGCAAAGTTGTAAGTTTTCAATCATCTTGCATTTCCTCCCCTTCTCTCTCCTCCCACGTGCCTGACACAGTGTTGGGGCAAAGGAACAAACACACACAAACTGCGCCCAACGATTGCGCCTTCAAACATCTGCTCGTTTTCTGCCTGGTCTCTGAGTCGTAAACCCTCCCCGCTCGGCAATGGCCTTGCAGGTCAAGATCATTCCTGCTTCTAGGGTCCTGACACACACCCTGCCCTGCCTGGTGCCCTCTCCCAGGGCAGACCTCTTTCAAAGTCCCACCGAGATTCTTCACCCCATCCCCAACCCCCACCCCGGGGTCTCCCCTGCCTCCGCCACCCCCGCCACCTATCTCTGTCTCCAACACCACCTGCTCTGTTCGTCCACTACCCTTGACCTTGGCGTGTGAGTCCACAACACGGTTACCCACAGCATGGTCCAGCGCCCCAGACACTTCACACGCACAGGTCATCTGGGGTGGAGCCAGAGAACCTGCCTTTCTAGCAAGTTCCCAGGTAAGAAGCTCTTGCTACTGGCCGGGAACCACACTTTGAGAACCATGGATCTAGAGCAACAGTTGTAAGCTGGTATCCCAAGCAAGGGCCGCCTCTAGGGCACGGGGATTTCACGTGAAAATCCAATTTCATATTTTCTTTAAACATCATCGGTATCTCTGTCCACAGCGGGTCTGCTGTGTCATGTGGCCGTCACCACCAGCTTCCCACGCCTTCCCCCAGTCCTACGCCAGCCACCCTTCTGTGTCCCGTTCTGGGGCCCTCAGGGCAGGGATCATGCTTTGCAGTGACACTGAGCCTCTCGGCCTGGCACAGAGGGACACACGACCACTTCACAAACACTGTCCATAGACATCTGCCTTTCCCCAAACTGGGCAGCCCTCCTCTAAGGCTGCAGCTGACCACCGTTTCCAATTTTAAGTTCTTTGCTGTCTCTACCCAGAGAAACAGGCTGACGAACAGCGGACCAGGCAGGGACAGCAGAGCCTTGAGCTAATCTCAAGGCCACTCTCCCCTGCAGTCTCTGCACCCCGGGAGCCCCACAGCCAATGCAACTCCTGACCCTGGTCAGAAGGCCACCCTGTCCTGTCCCATCCCCCCCCTCCAGGGTTAAGGACCCAGAAGCCAGAAGAGGAGGCTGAAGAAAGGTCAGTGCAAGCCGCCTTCCTGGCTCCCTGGCCTGGAGCAGGTGTCGGGGGGACCAGCCCTCTCCCTGAGATGACCGCTTGTGCAATAAGAAATGAGGCTTGACGCCACCTCCCCTAGGGACCAAATCTGAGCCTGTGTGGTGGGTTCCATAGCCTTCCCTGCCCCTAAATCCACAATCACCTGGAACCTCAGAAAGTGACCTTGTTGGGAAATATGGTCCTCACTTACAAAATTAAGTGAACGATCTCAAGGTCATCCTGGATTTAGGGAAGGCCCAAAGTCCAGTGACCTGTGTCCTTGTAAGATGAGGAGAGCGCACAGGGACACACAGAGTGAAAGGCACACGAAGGCAGAGGCAGATCAGAGCGATGCTGCCACAAGCCAAGGAGTGCCCGGAGCCACCATGGGCTGGGAGAGACCAGGAAGGCTCCAGCCTCCTCTAGAGCCTTTTGGAGGGAGCAGCCCTGCCAGTTTCACACTGGGCTCCAGAGCTGTGAGAGACATTCCCTAGCACCCAGCCCCTCTGGCTCCCCCACCCTGGCCAGTCCTGCCAGAAGGTGGTCACAGCAAGTCCTACAAGCACCGCCAGACTGATGTTCAAAAGCTGGGTGACCCCCAAGCACCAGGCCCACCCCCTGGCTCTGTACTCCTCCAGGTCACCCCATTACAAGGAGGCCACACTCCCTGCCTGGCTTTCAGAGCCTCGGTCACCTGGGCCCAAACCAGCGCCCCAGCCTGGCCTCTCAGGGTCCCAGGCTGAGCCTTTGCCCACAACGTCCCCTCTGCCTGGAGCGCCGTCCCCACCACCCCAGTGTCCCTGTGCGGTGGACACTTTCCTGCTCGTGAGGTCATTCCCAGGAGAGCACCTCACCCACACGCTGCCCCTGCTCATGACCTGGTCGCTTCCGGAACACTCAGTCCGGCTGGCTCCTCCCGCCTGTCCAGAATGTCCTGCCACTGTGCCTCGAGGGCCAGGGTGGACCCCATTCTTCTCCGAGTCCCCTGTAGGCTCAAAGCCCGATGTCCAGCAGCCCCTGAGTGCTCAGCTCCGTGCCAGGCAGTTGAGACAGAGGCACGAGACAGACAAGGTCCCTGTTGTCATGGCAGTGACTCTCCAGCAGGCATGTGGGCGGCACCAGAAAAATGTGCTGAATTGGAGTCAATTACATCGAATCTTGGAGACCGGAGAGATCTCGGTCTGGCCTCCCACCCAGCAGGCACGAGAGGCTTCCAGATCCCTTTTTCTCTGTCCTCATTTCAACTTATTTTTCTTTTTACTGACAACACTGTTATCTTTCTGCTTTTAAGTTTTGTTCAATCATGCACGGAGGGGCAGAGGGGAATAGGCTGCCTCTCCCCAGGCACCCGGCACACTTCTCCCACCTTCTCCCACGGGTCTTGGGTCCCGGGCACCTTCACGTGTCCCTGCCCCACCCCCACTGGCCACACCCAGGGAAGCTGGAAATGCTCTCGGCCACCGCTGCCTCCACCCAGCAAAGGTGCAATGCCGCCACCTGCCCCATCCTACAGCCACCCCCCCAGACTGCGCCCACCAGCCCGAGCCTCACACCCTGCACGCCTGGGGTCAGCCGCAAACAGGGCTGAGGGCAGCCGTGGGAGTCCCCAGGGCACCCCCGCCGTCAAGCTGGGAAGCATCTCGACTTCTCACCAGCAAGATGCCCTGGTTGCTATGGTTACGGCAGAGCCCAGCTCTGGACCAAGACCGCCAGGGCAGGTCCCCAGGGACCCCCCCGGTACTCACAGCGTAGCCAGGCAAAGCCCCGGGGCATGGTGGTGCGCTGGGGTCCCCAGAGAGCAGAGGCGCTGTCCCCAGCGGTGTGTCCACAGAGGCCCGAGCGGGGCCTACATGGCCTCGGGTCGGCAAAGGTGGCCACCAAGTCGGAGAAGGGCTGGCCCTGCAGGAGCAGCCAGGCAGCAGAGAGGGCAGGTGGTCCTGGGGCAGCGGCCGCCCTTATCTGCCTGGCAGCACGGAGGACAGCCGGGGGGCGGCGGCGGAGAGCCCCATGGCACCCGGGAGCTGGTCTGAGATGCAGCCTCCGGGTCTCCCTTCCCGAGGAGGAGACAGTCCCCGGCAGGCCCCTTGGAATCTGGGGCCGGGTGGCGCTTTCTCTGATTTCTCCGACTGCAGCTGCTCAGTGTGAAATCTGGCTCTGGAAAGAGAAAGGAGGAGAGAGACCGATTATATAAGAGCAGCGCCGCCACTCAGCCACCAGCCCCAGGCACCGAGGCTCCTCGGAGCTCGCCGCGCTCGGGGACCACCCTGCCCCGGCGGCTGCCCCTCAGGGACACGCTCAGACGCCAGTAGCGACTTCAGAGCAGCCAGCAGCTGCCCCAGCCCAGGAGTGAGATACGGTGACACCAGCTGGCAGCCCTGGGCCTGAACAAAAGCAGGACGGGGACTGCACAGGCGGTGTGGGCTCCCACGTCACCGGGGCTTCCAGAAGGAGGTGAGATTCCAACCTTCCATGGATGACTCTGGCCACAGGGGAGATTTAAAAAGCAGATCATTCACCCTCTACTCAACTTCACACTTAGTCCTGTCCTCCGATTATCCCCAATCCACTTCCCTCTTAGCAGGGTTGCCAGGTAAGATACTGAGCATTTGGTTAAATTTGAATTTTCAGATAAACCACCAATATTATTTTTAGTATGATAGTATCAGCAATGCTTTAGCATAAGTATATCCCAAATAGTGCATGGGATAGACTTATGCCAAAAAAGTATTCATTTGCAATTCATTCATAATTCATCTGCAATTCCAAACTAATGGGGAGTCCTATTTTCTAGACTTAGCAACCTTATGATAGTAACAGGGTAGCTCTTCCTGAGAGCTCATTATGTGCTAGGCCAGGGCTCAAGTCTTTTTTTTTTTTTCTTTTTTTCTGGTGAAACCTTCAGTCCAATGGGCTCAAGTCTTTATATTCATTGAATCCTCACAACAATTTTATGGGACCATAAAATCTCAGCTCATCAATGAGGAAATTGAGGTCCAGAAAGGTTAAGACAGTCGTCCAAGGTCACACAGCTTCTAACAAGTGGGTCAGGAATTCAAACCCTGCCTGCTGGCAGACACCCCTACAAGTCGCCACAACAGGGGGCTCAGGCTCTCAAAAGGTCATCTCATCTATCCCGCACTGAACTCTGCGGGGGCGTGGACTGTTGTCCCCATTGTGCAGATGAGGACTGAGTTAGCAGCAGAGCCAGCCCTGAAGTTCAGTTTCCTACCAGGTGCTATTCCATCCCCTTGCCCCCTCCCTGGCTCCCCTCTGGTCAGGGGAAATGCCCACAGGTTGGTGGCGTAAGAGGACAGTAGGTTATGATTTGGGGAACTTCTCCTTTTCAACATCCGTGGTGTCCCCATAGAATGTACCAGAAGTACTGGCCCTTAGCCTCAGAGGTTCCCAGCAGACAGAGAAGGCCTCATACAGAGAATACAGGTTGTTCAAATTCACCCCTCGTGTGGGGTCACCCTGAATCTCAGCCCCAGCCTGCTTCCTCCTCCTCCTCCTCTCCACTACCCCAACGCACCCTAGCATCACTACAAACACTAACCTACCTGTAACTTTTAGCTGTCATTAGTTTGTAGGGCTTTTTTAGGGGATGGAAGGATAATTTACATGCAGTAAAATTCACCTTTTGCAGTGTACTACCCTAAAAGCTTTGGCTAATTCATTGAGTTGTATAACTGTTACAGTAATCAAGACACAATACACTTCCATCCGCCCAAACAATTCCCTCCTGCAGCTTTGCCATCTCCTCCTCCCACACCCCCACACCCCCGCCCCCGCCCCAGGCAGCAACTCATTTGTTTTCTGTCGGGCACTTTCGCCTTTTCCAGAATGTCGGACCAACTAGATCATGGTGTGTGGCCACGTGTCTGGCTCTTCTGCTTCGCATGCTGGGTTCGGGATTTGGCCACGCTGTCCACGTGTCAATACAGACTGTCCTCCACTTAGGATAAACCCATCACTATTACATACCCATAATCATGATTTAAAAAAAACAAAGAAAATACACTTACTACCCCTAACCTGCCAAATGTCACGGCTTAGCCTAGCTTAGCCTAGTCTACCTTTAAAGGTGCTCAGAACACTTCCATGAGCCTACCATTGGGCAAAATCACCCCGCATTACGCCTATTTTATAATAAAGTGTTGAGTATCTCTGTCATTTATTGAATACGTAAATTGCATTGAAATTGCTATGGTTTTGCACCATCATAAAGTCAAAAATCATACGAATTGCCGTAAGTCAGGGACACCTGCAGTTGGTTCCTTGGCCTTGTCGAGCAGTGTTCCGTCACACGGACTGGTCACTGCTTGTGCCAGTTGAAGGACATCGGGGTTGTTTCCGGGTTTTTTTGTCTGTCTGTTTCCTGGGTTTTGATGATTATGAATGAAGCCTCTACAAGCCTCCGCACACGGGTTCTGGTGTGCATGGAGGTTTGTCTCTCTCAGGGGCCTCTCTGCAACTCAGTTGTGTCCTGTGGCCCCTCAGACCCTCCGGGCTGTGCATGCTGGGCACCGGTGTCTGGCCAGGGGTTCCCTGTCATCACATCCCTCAGCTCCCTGCCATGCATGGGACCGTGGCTTCCTCAGCATAGACCTCCCTGCAGGTACCCGCCACAACCCGGCTCTCCCGACAACCTCCTCACTCAGAAAGCCCCAAGGCAGGCGCCAGCACTGAACTCACCACACATCCGGGACCTCCAGACCCTGACGGAGAAGCCGAGGAAGTGAGAACGGGGTCACGATCATCTTCACGCCACCCTATGCCATCCTCAACCTGGGCACCATCTATGTCCCACCCTCAGGCCCCTCCAAAATGAGGGAACATGAGAAAGCTCAAGGAGGACACAAAGTGACTGTCACCTTGTGATGCAGGAGCCAGAGCTCACAGAGGTCCCCAAGACAGATGTGGCCCCAAGGCCACAGGAGCCCCCACCCCCTGGCAAATGAGGCCTAACCAGTGGCCTATGAGCCATCTATCCCCAGTAGAGAGGCCTTCCCCAATTCTGGGAGGGCCTGGGCCTGCCTCTATTTCTTTACCTTTATCTCTGTCTCTCCATCTCTGTCTCTATGTCTATTTCTCTGTCTCTGTATCTTTGTTTCTGTCTCTCCGCCTCTGTCTCTGTCTCCATCTGTCCCTCTCTGTCTCTATGTCTATTTCTCTGTCTCTGTCTCTCTCAGAGGTAGGGATGGGGAGGGTGAAGAGTTGAGAATGTGCCTCTCCCACCCCACCCCACCCCACGTTTCCCCCTGGGGCTCATGGCAGTCACGGAGAAGCTCATGCAAGGGAAAAGTTGTGCAAGAAAGTCAAAGTTGGCGCAGTTTTCGACATAGCTCGGTGGTGAATAGCATTTTCAGAGTCATAATAGCAAGTAAAAAATGAATGTTCGTTTCACCAAATCATGACTTAAGGACACTGGGATACAAGGGTCAGGGAGAAGGCAGTGCGTGGGGAGGAGGAGGAAGAGGGGGGAAGTCAACGGCAAGGTGCACACGCTATTCAGAGGAATTAATTTTTTAAATTATTAATTGAAAATTAATTTTTTTAAGTTGAAAGTCCTGTATCTGAGAAGTAGGAACTGGGGAGAAAGGAAGAGGCAGAGGCCTACTAGTGTTTGTAACGTCACATTGAACTATTTAACTCTTTAGTTCAGGTCCAGATATAACTGACTTAAAAAAAATAAAAACTGAGCCGGGCACGGTGGCTCACGCCTGTAATCGTAGCACTCTGGGAGGCTGAGGCGGGCGGATTGCTCGAGATCAGGAGTTCGAAACCAGCCTGAGCAAGAGCAAGACCCCGTCTCTACTATAAAGAGAAAGAAATTAATTGGCCAACTTATATATATATAATTAGCCGAGCATGGTGGCGCATGCCTGTAGTCCCAGCTACTCGGGAGGCTGAGGCAGGAGGATTGCTTGAGCCCAGGAGTTTGAGGTTGCTGTGAGCTAGGCTGACGCCATGGTACTCACTCTAGCCTGGTCAACAACCAAGACTGTCTCAAAAAAAAAATAAAAAATAAATAAAAAATAAAAATAAAAACTGCATTAAAAAAGGAATTTCAAATTTCTGTGCTAGACCTGTGTTGATATTCACCCAGCTCATGTGCAAGAACCTGCTCGCTCTGGGCACTTCACTGTCCCCTCCTTTCCACAGACACCTACTTTGCTTCTTCTGTTCCCTGACTGAGAACCAAGACCACCGCCCCAGGGACAGAGCAATGGATCCAACTGGATCCTGGCAGTTCACTCCAGAGCCTGTGCCCAGCCCTGGGGTGGTGGTACAGTTTCATGTTCAGGACACACACAACAGAGACCCCCAAGCACCTACTGTGTCAGCAGTGTAACAAATCACCCCAAAGTACAGTGGCTGAGAACAACACTCCGTTATTACTTTTCATGAACTATAGGTTGGCTGGGATTTGGCTGACCAGGGCTAGGCTGTGCTGACCTGTTCTGGGCTGGGCTTATCTGGGCTGGCCTCGCTCATGCTGGTGGGCTGGAGGGTGCTGGCTGCTCTAGGTCAGCCCGATCTGGGATAACTCATCCTCCAGCAAGCTAGCCCAGGCTTGCTCTCACACAGCAGAAGCAGCTTCCAAGAAATCAAGCAATGGAGTCAAGGCCTCGGCTCAGAATCATAACACCATCACTTCCATCACATTCTATTGGCCAAAACGGATTCAAGGGGGGTGGACGGAAGATGGATGCAACCTCTTGATGGAAAGAGTTGCAAAATATGCACAGGGCATGGATGGATGGCTGTGTGGATGGATGGCTGTGTGGATGGATGTGCAGAATTGGCACCACTTTTGCAACCAATCTATTACACCCACCCGGAACACTGTCCTCCCCAAAGAGGCCAGGCATGACCTAAGAGTCCCACAGTCACCAGGCCACCCAACCTCATCCTCCGCCTGTGAGGCAGGCCACCCTGCTGCCGAAGAACGTGGAGGTGCACAACAAGAAGCATTTACAAGAGTGAGTCACAGACGTTCTGTACGAGGAGGAGGTGGAATAAAAACAGAACTGAGTTTAGGCCACAGGAAAAGGGAGACAGACAAAAGCAGAAACAAGAATTTTCTATTCTGGTTAATGCCATCAGCCTAGGATCTACACTTCTGAGTAACCTCACACCCACCACCCCTG